AAGGGCCTCATTCCCTTCTGCACAACCTTGCAGGGTCCACATGCTTTAGTTGAGATTCCTGCATTGCAGACGATTGGACTAGATGATGATGATGATGATGATATTTATACCCCGCCCATCTGGTTGGGTTTCCCCAAACACTCTGGGCAGCTTAGAGTACATAAAAAACTGTAAAATTTACATAGCTGTCATTCACAGGTGATTGCAATTATTGATCTCAGTTATATATTTATAAATATATAAAATACAGGGCTCATGTGCTGTGTTTAGAAAGCACAAGTCCTGGCAGTTTACCGCTTGACCCATACTTTCTAAGCATGGGTCCAAGGAGTTTTCTCCTTGCCCCACTTCTTTCCAAGGGAAAACCTGCTCTTTAGCGATCTATAAGAACAAATGACAATCTGGGGAAAACTCAAATTCCTGTTAGCTCCGATTGAGCACGAAAGAGCAGGTGAACTTTGGGGTACCTTCAAACTCTAAATTTTATGATTCTCTGCCAATGGTTGGCAAGGGCAGAGAGAGAGAAAAACACTCCTGGAGTGCCTTTACTGAGTTGAAATGTGTCTTCAAACTGCGATGCCTCTTGCTTGCCTGAATGTAAATCTCTGACTTTGCATGGCTTGACTATAACACAGCCTGCATTCATGTCTATTCCATTTTTATGACGTTTCCCTAACTGTTGATTTCTGTATTTGAGCAATGGAAAAGCCACTTCCAGAAATATAGTGGAATGCAGCTCAAGTTTAGCATTCATTTTCATCTTCTTTGCAAACAGATTTTTTTTTTTGGAAGCAAAGGACATGAAAATGAGCACCAAATTTACACTATATCCCATTCCAGAAATTGATTTTGCGTCATGTGGAAGCTCAAATGTATAACTTACCAGTTAGGAAGAAGTGATGAAAATAGAATAAACTGCCCCCCCCGACCGCAGCCCTAATGTATAAAGTCACGTCCAACGCCCTGCTCACTTTTGAATTGCTCAACATGTGCCTGTTATGCAGCCAGAATTTTGCCAGTGAAGGGAACGCAACCCCCAATCTCAGAAAAGGTTCTTCACCCAACTTAAGACAATGATGTCTTTGTGTTTTGGTTTGAGAAGAAAGTTGGTATCCCCTGCAAGATGACAAGAAATACCATTGCTAACCATGAGCCGCACTCAGGACTAATCTACACTAGTGAGTTATGATGTTATAAATGCGTTATAAAAATGTGATACCAGGGGGAGCTGTAGAGCAGTCAATGGAAAATTGCATTGAGAGCTATATAACGGGATTTCTTTTCTTAGCTTTTTTAAAAGATCAATGTAGAGCCAGCCTGCGTTCAATTTGCAACACAAAGAGCCCTGCTTCACTTGCCATAGAGCCATAGAATTGTAGAGTTTGAAGGAACCCCAAGAGTCACTTAGCCCAATGTGTGGCTTGAACCCACGACCCTGAAATTAAGAGCCTCGTGCTCTGTCGAAGCAGTTTAATGGCACATGCACCAGTAGCATAAAAAATCATTAGAAAAAATCACAGTAGTGAATTATTTGGGGAGTGATCCTCCAGAAAAAGTGGAGGTCCTGGAGGTCCTTCCCAGTTTCTTTCCCAATCCAATTCCTGCAGAAAAATAATGAAAAAGAAATCAGAGTAGACTTTTCTCTTTGCTTTTTCTCTCTGCACTGCCCCCCCCCAGCTGCATCAGAGAGTGGTGGTAAGAGAGTGGTGGTAAGAGATGTGGGAAATGGGATGGAAGGGACAATGTGAAGCCAATCCTCCATCCCAGCACCACTGCTGCACATCATACCTGCTTTGAACTGAAAAAGCAGACTGGGAGACCTGACGACAGATCTCCGGGTGTTGCGTTTGTTGCAACCGTTGGTGTCGCTTCCGAAAGCAAACACATGCTCCTTAGCCAGGTTTGTGGTGCTTAAGAGGCAAGAGGTTACAGTTCTCTCGCCGCCTGCACAACATTCTCCCGGTCTCTGAAAGGAGATCAAGTATCTCACATTGAAAATTTTCTTCTCCAGTTTTGGTCCAGCCAGTTTTGGTTTCCTGTGTGTGTGTGTGTGCAAGGGGGGGGGGCAGACAGCTTTACCAGCCACACATAACCCTTGTACTGTTTCCCACACTGCACTAAACTGACACCAGTATTTTTCCTCCCGAGTTAAAATATTTGCCACACACGTCTGAGAAACTCCTTGGGAGCATTTGGGCACGAGGAAGATGACACCCCTGGGACAAAATTACCCTAAACTGTGTAATTAAGAATCCTGGGATTTATAATGTTTCCAAGGTCAACTTACATGATCCCTGCTGCTCTCTTTATGTATTTTTCTCTTGGGTGGTAAGTGTTGTGACATTTCAGAAGGCTGGTATTAAGTTTCCCTAAACCATTTTTTCCCTTCTACGTAATATTAAAAGCGGGGGAAGGGATTTCTGCTTTGATTTCTTTGCTTTTTGAAAATTGCATTCTACTAAATATCTACAGCTAGCCTAACATTTAACACAGCTGATGGATTAAATGCAAGCCCACCATTTGTTAGGATTCTAAGCCCCCTTTTCTGGCAGGGCCCTTAAAAGAAGCACCATTTAAAGAAATATTTTTATGTATTGGTTCAGGACGTTTTAAAACATTTTATACCTTCTTGCAGCTTCCCAAGCCAAATATTACACTTATTGTAGTGACTGAAATGCAGCTGCAAATTACAGAGCTTTTGTTTTAGCACCAGTAATAAAAGCACCAGTACAATGCTGTGGAGCCAGCGATTTTCTTAATTGCCATCTTGTTTTATTAGATGTTTACTGGCCTCTCTCTACCTTAGCTATGGCATCTCTCCCAAGAGACTGCTAGGAACAAACAGCAGTTATTTGCTTTCTCATTATTTCCTAATACTCAGACTCCTGTCTGAGCATTCTCTAAATGGCTGCAGTCCTGAGTTCCTCAGGGATTGCCTTTTCTAGAAGGTTATCACCTTAGATATTCTGCCAAGACTATGCTGGGTATTCCCTCCTTCCTACGAAATTGATCAGGGATTAGGCTTTGCTATAGTGCTACCAACACTGGCAGATCAAGGAGAAGCATCAGGCAATATCTGTGTTACGAGGAAGCATGCAATAAGGTTGGGAAAGCTTTTTCAGTCACAGGTGAGGGGCAGAGACAAAAGTGGTTGGAGCAATAGATGGAATATACACTTCTCTTTGTACGGTAGGTTGCATTCTCTCCAGGCAAAACAGTGAGGTTTTGACATGCGTATGTCCATCCAACATAATCATGCTGTATCACCATTGCTGAACTCAAATCTACATGCCCTCTCTCCCTTTAGACTAGGAAGATGGCCAATGTCTTGCTTGCCCCACAGCTCCTATTGATGTTTATGGGCCACCTTGCTTCAAAACTTGTGGGAAGTGATTTGGTTCATTGTAACAATTTTACTTAGAATCACTGCAGCTAGATGATTGGTAGAGTACTTTTTAAAAAATAAAATTAAATTAAAATCACTATTAATTACTTCTCAAATATTCTGTTCAGGTAACAGGAGTACGAAAGAATACGCCAGTTGCTGCAGATGTAAAAATGTGCCAATTCACACCTGCTGAACCACTAAGAAATTTTGCCTTCATCTTTGTCTACACTAGGACTGGTCTTTTAATTTTGTACATCTCTCATGCCCCCCACCCACCAATAATAAAGACAGCTAACCAGATTACTTAGATGACAGTATTAAAACAGAGCACAAAGCATTGACAGATCACAAGACATATAATTTGTAATTCAGCAGAATCTGGGATGTGCTCAGTAAATTACTTTGCATTTTATGTTGCTTTTATTCCTAGATTTTGAATGCAGAATATTTTTACAAGAGGGGCTGGGAAAGGAGATATTGGATGAACGTGGCAGAAATCAGAGGGTTTGGAGAGAGAAATGAGATATGCAGACACAGGTCTCCAGCCACCAAGACCAGTGCTCCTTTTGGCTGCCCAGCCCTCTACAGGATGTTGTAGAATTAAAAGGAGAAATACGATGGCAGTTAGGAACTTTTTTCAACACACCCATTCTCCACAAGCTGACCAGTATCAGCATCTGGACTTGCCACTTCTGTGTTGATTACCCAAACTTACTGCAACCAGATGAAAATTTGGTATTTTATTTCCCAAGTGCCAGTATGGCAAGACCACTTGATGTACTTCTGTGCAACCCACCCCGAGACATCTGAAAAATCTTGTTTGCATATCTCCCACTCTCCTTTCAAGACATACTCATATGCAGTTGCAATTGCACAGCTGTTATTGTCCTCCTCTGACTCATGTTAGATTGCAAGAATCAGCTACGCTCAAATTTGGGAAACCTGTAAATTAGGATTCTATCACTTAGGAGACCAGCAACCAACTCAGAACAAAACTAGACATGGCATAACTTTTTTTATTATTTTAACAACCCTTGCTGGGGGGCAGGGAGGCAAATTTGAACCATGGTGCCTTGAGGGCTGTTGGTTTTTTAAACTGTCTCCCCATGACGTTTTATTAATCAACTTCCCTCAAAACATGTTTTCTGTCCTGCAAGGGAAAGCATGTTAGTATGGTATCTGCAAGGTCCCCTGCCTGGCAAATAGCAGGTTCAGGAGGACACTTTCAATTAAAACAGCATCATGCAAAGGGGGGTGGAGGTTTAACCCCTTCTTTGCACCACATTCCCAATCCAATTGATCCCTCTCTCCATAACTTGACTTTTTATTATTGATTTTTTTAAAAGCATCACTGATCCTAGCTACTTATTTCCTGCATTGTGATTAATTGTACCCGCAGAGGTGGGCTACCCGATTTAAGCATGGTTTCAATTTGCAGTCAAATCCAAAGCTTGTTATATCCAGTCCTATGCTTGTTGGCAAGCATGACTTTTACAAAAACTTACAGACCTCCAGACCAATCACTCTAGTTGGCAACAGTAAAACTTTGGCCAGGAACTCTGTCATTTCATTGTGTCAAATAGCATTAGACATTATTACACACCACATATGCTTTAATACAAGAGTGATTCCATTTATTGCAGGGGAGGGGGTAGTATTAACTGCAATAATACAGTATCAGTTTTTATACAAAAGGCTACTTGGGTTCATGCTGGATAGCCTGCAAGAACCAAAAGGCAAAGCCAGCACACCTGGGGAAAGGTCTCCCACCATGACATTTACCGTAAGCGCGGCAAATGTCAACTTTAGTATAACTGAAGTTCTACATAACAGAAGAACTGTTTTAGAGACAGCTATCAAATCAAAATGTTCAGATTTTTGTCAGCTAAACACACTTCCTCAGAACTTCTACTTGGTGCAATAATGGCTGTACCATCTAGTTACCATGGCCTGTATTTTGGTACAGTACTGAGAAAGTTAACATAACTTAGTGTGATAACTGGTACCAAACTTCTACTCTCCAAGCCACCACTTCCAGAGCCAGAAGTTCTGCAAAGTAAATACAGTTTGCTCATTTTCTGACACCCAGTTTATTAGTTCCAGATTTTCGGTTTCCTGTTGTTGCAGTGGCAGGCCAGCTTTCAGCTATAATGTTCCATTGGATTATTCCATTTCTGAGCATGCTGCCCAAACAGCAATGTAATTCACTGAACAGTTAAACAAACATATCCATTTAAGATAATAGTCACCGCAATGCAGTTCTGTCTGAAGATAACACTATCTATTAAAATCTAGCACAACTCGAATTAAATGCTACCTTAAGGCTGAACCTCGCCTACTACAGAGGCCGCAATAGAGACCGCCTTATCAGTAGTAGTACAAAACAAGTCAATATAATGAAATAAAAGGACGAATCTACTTGTCTAAAAGACAATTCACTGTACACATTTTATTTACAGTTTTGTACACTGTCTTAATATGAATGGGACTGCGTTTCTATTCGAGCTGTTCTTAAACCAAAGCAAAATATAACCTAAGGAATACAAAGTGTTAAAATACAGCATAAGATACAAAAAACAGGAATACTATTTCTAGTAAGGAATGTAATTATGGTGTTACATTTTTAAAAATCCACAATTATGTTCAGGAAATCACACAAACATATCACTGATTTGACTTGAAATGCATGAAACTCGTAGCAAAGCTTTGATGTTACAAAATAATTACCAAAGAATGCACAAAATTAATGTTTATTAAACCTTTTGTCATATTCCCAGATAGATCCTTCACCAATGTTACATGAGCAAGAACTGAAATTAGAATATCACTAATGTTATCAGAGAGGGAAACAATAAATTAAATCTAGCAGCCATCAGCATTCATTACAGCAAAGACAATGCTGTATAAAGAAATATTTGCTAGAAAAATGTATGCATCATACTATTCTTTCAAACCAGCAAAACATGTTGCATACAATGCAAAGGTGAAAAAGTAGTAGTTTCTTCCCCTGTAGAAATGGCACTGTTTTTGGGATATATTTAATATAATATTTACTTTCCTAAGAAGCATCACAGAGTGGGCTAGGGAGACCTTTATGGTTTCAGTGGGCAAATGTACTGAAATTCTTTGATTGGATAAAGGTTACTTCAGCCAAAAATGGGGGAGAAAAACAAACACAGAAGTACAAGACAAAAGCAAATGAGACTTTCACAAATTTAGCAACATTTAGATGGAAATCAGATTTAAATGCAGTCCACTCTGCTTTTATATAGAGGCTTTGGTTCAGCTCCCAAATCTCGATTGCTTGACGCAGTCTCCTATGAAATACTCTGAAGGTGTCTTCTTAAACAACAAACCTATTTTTAGTGGTGGAGCCGCTCTTAGTAGCTGTGTCAGCATGGGACTGATAACCAATCACTATCTTTGGAGGAAGTCCTAACCTTTCTTTGTACACTCTCCTGAGAAATAAAAACATAAAATATCTGTTTAAATTGTATTCAGCTGAAGAAAACAAGATGCTAATTTCACATATGAAAGCTCTCAAGCCAAACAATTTCAGAGCTTTATATTCTTTTAAATACTAAATTGGCTGTTATAAAAATCTCAAACATCTCAGCAGTCAATTCATACTGTTTTCACATAATTCTCCATTTCAACTTTATCTGCCCAATAGCTGATGGATATATCCATCTGACAAATCTAACTGCTCTTCATTATATCATTATATCCATAATGAATCACCAGGACTCACTATCTTGTAACTTTTTTAGTGAGCTCTGACCTATCTCTACTTTCAAAGAAAGGCTATTACAGACTGAATGTCCCTTAAAACCATCTGTCTCCCACTGGCAGCTCACAGCCCACCCCCCTTAAGGTTGGTAGCAGCTGTGACTTAATGTAGCATCATTTTATTTATCTCATTTAGGCTATTTAAGGAAAAAGGCAGAAATAGATCCAAGGGGGCAGAAAACTCTTTCGCCACTAACAGCTACATTAAGGAAGTTTGGCAAGTACAGCTTATCACTCAAAGGTGAAAGTGCACACCTGCCAAATTTCATCTTCTGCACAACAATTACAGGTGAGAAAGCCCTGATTACATCCTTTGAATAATGGGAAGCTGGTCTCATTTTGTAGGCTGGAGGCCTGGACTGAGATCGCTGTTGAGATTAGGGATCTTCAACCTTTTCAGACCCAGGACTCAGTTTTAACCCAAACAAGCATTCGGGGACCCATTATTTAACCTTTTACCATATTTGCACAGTGACTGTGCTACTGCTGCAACCCACCTTGAATCAGGCACGTAACCTAGGGGGTCCAGACCCTCCAGCTGGCTTAGATGAAGTTAATTCATTCACTAGCACACGCACAGCTGTAAGTCAGGCATATTGCAGTGCAGTTCTCAAAATAGAATCCTATTCCAATACTAATTGCAATGCTTCACAAGCCTACTCAGAGGTCCCTTTGTACCATGTAAGGGTGCTTAGGTTTGCAGCCAAAATAATGTTTGATTCCTGACATGACCACAGCTATCTCATAACACTTGCACAAAGTTTTATTGGCTCTGACACAAAACTTCTATTTTCAGAGAAACGTGGCCAGTCTTAACTTTACAGAACACCTTTGATTGATTCAACCCATTCAATGACAGCAAATACAAGTAACTAAGTGTATGTCCAATAGTGGACAATATGCTGTATGCACGATAAATGCAGATGCTTGCAATCACAGTTCTCCTTTCAATAAATACTCATTCCAAAGTCTATGTATTTCCAAATCCATGTTCATGTGGCCTCAATGGATTTAATATACTTTCATAGAATTTAAATATACTCTGAATTAAACCTCCTCATTCTGTAATATGTAGAATATAAAGTCATAGGGTATATTTCATGCTTAAGCAACACTATAATCTCCAATCTTTTGCAACTGAAATTAGTACCCACTGTGAAACTGTCCAGAAACAAACCATTACATCATACTTGTGAAAGAGTAACAGTTTCAGCTGAACATTCCCAAGAGGATGGAGTTGTTTCAATTTCCTTCATTATCCTTGGTATCAATGGAAACAGGCTGCAGATCTATGCACATTTACCTGAGACTAAGTTCCACTGAACAGAGTAAGATTTCTGAGTAAAGATTATGAGAATGTATAAGATTAGGCTGCACATAGTGGAACAGTGTAGGCATCATGATTAGCCATGGTTTACAGTGATGGGAATGAGCTGCAATAAGTTTGGGGCTTATACATTTCCATTCCTTCTCCAGTGTGGCCATGGAGGAGATGGGATGCTCTTGCTTCCATTTGCAATTAACTGCAGTTTAGCATTACATCCATACTCTTAACAGTGGTTAATTATGGTTTTTTTGGAAACAAACAAACTTCATATTACATGCTTTGAAATTTGCAAACCATCGTCAATATTAGCCAGTTAGTTGGATTTGGACAAAACAAGCTACCTTTCTTTAAAAAACAAAAAAACCTGAAGTAAAAGCTTTTGATCTTCTCCTTGGAGTAATGCTGGAGGAATTGGAAAGTGTCTCTGTGCTCAAGCCTTGCAACATATTGTTCCTATCACAATAAGCCATGGTTTATAGCAGAGGTGGGAAATCACTTTTGTCCACTGGGTTGGGTCAAGAAGTGGCCACCCCTCTGTGGGCCGTTTTTGACTGTCAGGCAAATCCACCCACTTGTAAATAACCTGTTGCCATGGTGTCAAGAGGACCTGAGTCTGCCAGCCATCAGCAGACTTGTATTCAGTGCTGAAGCCCTGCTGCAAAGGAACAATTGGGACTATACTCAAAGTCTTTTGATTGTTCCTTTGTCACCATAGCTTTACCAATCCCACACCTTTGTCATAGGGTGTCAGGTGATCAATGGGTCAGCATGGCTGGACTTGTAAGGCTCCTAATTTGACCCACAGATCAGTAATTCCTTCTGCCTGGTTTATAGCGATGTCTGAACCAGCTCCACATGTAGGGTATTCTTAGGAAGACAGAATACTGCAGTTTATTCAGCATAACTTACCCTATATGTGTAACAGCGTCCCTGTTTTCACATTCAGTAGTCCATATTGCTATTTTATCACCCTTGGCTCTAACATTAACAACTGCTCCACATACATCATCGCTGTAGTCATCAAAGGACTCTCCAATAAGGCACAACAGCTATAAAAGAGAAATAGACCATTAAACAATCTAAATAGAAAAAGACAACCAAATGAATGGAAGAAAATGAACACTACATAAGACAAGAAACTGTTCAACACTCCCAAGATAACCAATAATATGAAAGCATTTTCAGCTGTCTTTTGACAGGAAACCAGAGACCACCACACATCGGCTTTCTGAAGAACAATGCAGGCAATCCCTGATTTGTGCATCCACAGGCTCTTACCTGATGAGATTACCACTGCATCTACCACTAGGATCAACCTGTTGCCAAGTGTTTGTAATACAGGGGGCCGCAACTTACACCTAATTTACTTATACACAATTTACTTATCACAACCGTACACAGACGAGGGAAAGTACCATATTTTTCGCTCTATAAGACGCACCAGACCACAAGACGCACCTAGTTTTTGGAGGAGGAAAACAAGGAAAAAAATATTCTGAATCTCAGAAGCCAGAACAGCAAGAGGGATCGCTGCCCAGTGAAAGCAGCAATCCCTCTTGCTGTTCTGGCTTCTGGGATAGCTGCGCAGCCTGCATTCACTCCATAAGACGCACACACATTTCCCCTTACTTTTTAGGAGGAAAATAGTGAGTCTTATAGAGCAAAAAATACGGTAAATAAATATATGGAGACTGGGGAAAACCTGTTGTTCCCTCTCTTAATTTATTTCCCATACTGGGCAGGTCATGGGTGCATTCTAGGGCCCTCCTGCAACTTTCCCAGGGCCCAATAAGCAACCCTTCACCTTGTGGGGGGCAGAGGGTGAGCAGTTCCAATGGTTCCCAACTTTGTACAATTTTGCCTTTGGGCACGGACCCCAAGAACTGAACCCTTGCATAAGGGGTGGGCCCACTGTACTCTTTCTTGCCCAGGTGCAAGTTCAGTCTGTTTCATCTACCGTAGATTTAGAATTGAGATAGCTCTTTGTAGTTGTTCAGTTAAGAGCTGGGTGGTATCAGGGTATTGATGGCATTCAGTTCCAAACTCTCAGCATCTTCAGTTATATGTTAAAAACCACTAGCAATAAACTGAGCTTCACAAAATACCACCTTGTCAACCTGAAAGGGCAGAGCTACAATTAAGGACCCTTGGATAGAGAAAGAAATCAAATTACTCAGGAGCCAGACCAAATATCCCTACTAGGCCATATAAACTGGTCCACTGCATCAAAAATACCAAGAAGTCCAAATGTAAATGGGCATGGAGCTAAAGATGTGGCATTCTTCAAAACCCTGAACACAATGTTAATTTGCCCAAGGCAAATGAGGCCGAAATTATCTATGTAACTGCAACAAGAGGCACCTTCTGACACCCCGGGCCAGAACTCTGTCACAAGCAAGTCAGAGACCTGAGTGATTTATCAGAAAACTACCAAACAAATTTGTGTCAAGTCCTATTTACAGATTACTCATACATAAGGAATGCACATGTTGGAGGAGGCAGCATGTTGGCCCCACCATTGATTTTGTGTCCCATGGCTAGCAACCTCTGAAAAGGAGTCCTGTGCTACTGGGTGCTACGTGCAAGCAGCCACTCATGCTGAGCGGCTCCTTTTCAGGTATCAGGAGCCATGGAATGCAAATTTAGGGCTGGGATCTACATACATAAATGCAAGAGTAAGTCTATAGTAAACTGCAAATTCCTTCCACTTTGTTACGCCCTCATGTGAGAACACAAATCCTCTAAAAACAAAAGCATCCCTACAGGATACAATTTTACTCAGATGATGAACAACTTCCTTTGTTGTCTAAAAGGTCTACAAATAGGTACAGTCATACCTCAGTGCCATTTTGGGGCGTTTGTTTATGATTGCAAGGGGGAAATCCTATCTATTCCCCTTCATCAAATCAGAATTGGCACTACCACCTCCCCACAACTCCCCGCCTCCCAGGGATCCCATAAGCTTTACAAATACTTGGGGTGGACCATGTTAATGAGCCTGGATTCAATGCCTAGGGAACCCATTACACCTTGAGCAGCTAATGGTTTAACTATGACAGACACAGTGTCTGCACAAGTTGTTACACCACCACTCACAGGTACATAGAAGTGGCAAATGATGGGTTCTTCAACATGCCTCTTCCCTTCAGGAATTTTGGAACAGTTCATCTCTCAAATTTAAGCAGGACAAAATAGCACAAAAAACTTACTGTCTCTAGCCAGAAGCGATCAAGGTCACTTCGTCGCTGCTGTTTGTTTAGTGTAATTAGCCACCGTCCTCCTCGTTTATTCTTCTCATCTTCCCACATGGGCTCAATACCATCCTAAAAAGTGCAATTTGAGCAGAAAACAATAAATCTATATGATGCACAACGCAATATCACTCCATTTTAATGCAGCATTTGAGCCCAGCTATTCTCATGGCATTAGGATTTTAACTCATTGTCTTAATACCACCTGCAATGCAATGGGTTGTACCCAACTAAGTTATCCTATTGGTGCAAGAAATTCCAACTACCTAACAGGACCCCTCTGTTCTGAGACTTTCCCCAATTAACTGCAGTAGACTGGGGTGGGGAGAGAAAGGCCTCTTGCTTTTGCGCTAGTGGAAAGACTTTGTTGGATACAACCAATGTACAGAAAGACTTTCCTACTGCCAGAGAAGTTTCAGAACTAACTAGAAAAAGGATTTCATTTATAGACAGTAGCATGGAAAGAGGCAGTGTGTGGCAAGGCAGCCCAGAGACATTTAAGACTAGCAATTCACACCTCACTCAAACAGCAAAGTTCACTAGTGTGTGCCTGAACACATTATAGAAATCAAGTGTCAAGCTATGAATGTGCAACAAGGAAATACTAGACTCTGTGGAGGTGGAGTAGTGTGGTTTACATACAATCTTAAGACATTTTAAGACAGGGGACCCAAAACTAGTAACATTATTCATAATAATTAACAAGCTAATACTTAAGTTTACTCTGCATACCTTAAACAGTGAGTAGTCACAACCGGGCATTAAGTTACTAGAGAGCTGGATATGGTTATATAACCTATTTGGGGAAAACAAAACACAATTAAGAAAGTGAACTATCACAAGCAGTGCAGATTTCACCATGATAAATCAGGCTAGCATCTTAAATTTTAAGTTGCTTTAATTAGGAATATAAATTTATTCTCAACAATTAATTTCACGGCATGGGGGGGGGGGAATAATTAAAAATTAAATCCAGTCACATGTGTATAAGATAAGGAACGCTGACAATGTAAGACAATTGCTTCTACATTTTTATTACCTGAAATGTTTAGACAAGTTCCCATTGGACTCAACTCCTATCAGCCCCATGGTCAATTGTCAGGGATGAAAGGAGTTGTAGTCCAGCAACATCTGGTGTGTCACAGGTTAGTCATCCTGACTTAATAAGCATAGCTCATAGGAGTCCCCAATACTTGATAGGTACTGAAGCTGACTGTTTAAAGTTCTCCTACGTTGGTGTTAATTAGTTTCATAATCAGCTACTTTTTCTACTAAAAAACTCTGAAGGATTTTTAGTCTGTGCCTGCAGAGATTTTCCTGAATTGTGCTTCATCTGTCAATTTTAATAAATCAAGGTATTTGCCAGATCCCTTTCATTCAACTTACTAGGTTCCCTCTTTTTCCTTATGTCATCCTGCATAATGAACAGAAAGGGGAAAATTCAAATTTCATGTTTAATTGAGTTTTGAAAAATGCAGTATAAACCTTCCCACAGAGGCTCTGAGCTAGTGTACAGGCTGATTTAAAAAGCTACACATTAGTATACTATAAAGAAATACTTCAAGAATGAATGAGACCGGCATCTAAGAAGCTTCACTTACGCCCAAAAATCTTCAACAGTATCAAACTTTGAGATCAGACGAAGATTTGCTTGCCAGGTTTTACTTTTGTCATTTTTAAAGAACCAGAGCGCCCACCTGAAAAAATATTGATTTCTTGTTAGGCTACTATGTTTTATTATCCAGTGTCCTATTACAACTAAGAATAGTAAGGACTTAAAAATCATACAGCATAGAAGAAATTTAGGAAAGAAAATTATAGATAGCAAGAATGCCCACAGGTTTAATTTTCAGATCCCACTGAACTGGGCAAGGTACTGAGGCTCTAGATCGCAAAGCTGACAGAGAAAGAATTTGATGGAAAGCCAATATTTATATTTAGATATAATGAATGCTTACCTAAGAAAGAAAGGGGGGAAAAAGATTATAAATACTGTTATTTCCAAAATTAAATCTCCTTCTGAAAACAGATTCTGAAGTAAAGCATATAATCTGAAGCATGCTTTCTGAACAATTTATCTACCTCAACCTAGTTAGTGGCATTCCATGGGGAGCAGTAAGCTTCTGTATCTGTACAACTAGAGGTTGCTTGTGCAAGTTCCTGCCAACCTAGCAGTTCGAAAGCATGTCAAAGTGCAAGTAGATAAATAGGTACCGCTCCGGTGGGAAGGTAAACGGCGTTTCCGTGCGCTGCTCTGGTTCGCCAGAATCAGCTTAGTCATGCTGACCGCATGACCCAGAAGCTGTCTGCAGACAAACGCTGGCTCCCTCGGCCAATAAAGCGAGATGAGCGCCGCAACCCCAAAGTCGGACACGACTGGAACTAATGGTCAGGGGTCCCTTTACCTTTTGCAAGTTACCCTCTCTGATACAAAAGTCAGGGCTGCATGTATAGTGTCTAAAAATGTAAACTCCTGGTGATCAGGTGCATCAAGACTGGATTCAGTCCACCATTGCTGCTTCTTCTCACTAACTGACTGATCAATACCACTTTAGCTTTAAAAAGAAGTGCTTTGTGCACAGTGCAGCTGCTATATATGTACTTCTTTGGATGGGGATACTGCTCTAGGCAAAACTTCAGAAAGCACATAGAATCAAGAGACTTGAAGAGTTGCCGAGTATTGTTCTGTGAAGCTATACATTCTACTCAGTCAACCACTCAAGGACTGCAATATCAATATTCTTATTTCACTAGAGCTATTTGGGGTGTGCTATTTTAAACTACTCTTGAAAATGCAACAGAGCTTCAATACATTCAGAAATATCTGAGTTATCCAAATTAGAATAACCAGGAACAATGTTTTTACAGGGTCACACTGACCTGGGACAAGGAGATTTGATTAGAGAAATTTGGGGGAAGCAACCTATTTTGGTAATGAGAACCTAACACTACACCAGCACCATCGTATCTTTTACCAGCTGTAACTCATCTTAAAAGTGTCATGAAATTGCAGCAATGCAGGTCTTTCAGCAAGAGGAAGGGGGAAAATTGTAAAGCAGGATCAACAATGGACTAAAACAAAGGTACAGAGTCTCTTGCTCCTAGCAGTTTATCTCCTGAAACAAGAAAATCTGTAAACTGAAGCCACTAAAATTCTAAAAGCAGATTTCATTACACATTCGTATGTGTTTTAAGCTATGAACACATCATATTCTGATATCTATGTTACAACCCTCTCAGTGCCACATTATATGATTAGTTGTAAACCCACATATTGTAATACTTAAGAGACAATATAGTATTTGCTAAGGGGTAAACAATGGGATCGGATTGTGGTCTATATGCTCTGTATCTGGACTTCCCAGAGGTATCTGACTCGCCCTGCTGGCAACCAACTCTTGGTCTGATCCAGCCAGGCTCTTGTGAAAACTGCGTTCTCACCTAAGGCACTGAGTAGGTCAAATGGACATCAATAATTAAAAGACTATTTCCTTAATCATTCACAGTTAAATGAAGTGAAATATAACTTTCAAAAGTTTTATTATCAGTATTATTAATAAATATTTTGTTTATGATGGTTAAGCAGCATTAAAGATTCAGGTAGGTAGCAGTGTTGGTCTGACGCAGTCGAAATAAAAATAATAAAAAATAATAAATTATCCAGTAGTACCTTATAGACCAATTAAGTTTGTTCTGGCATCTGAAGTAGTGTGCATGCATGCGAAAGCTTATACCAGAACAAACTTAGTTGGTCTATAAGCAGTATAAAAGTCTTCTTAAACAAAACAAAGGCAGTCCTCAGAATGCAGCCCATATTTTAAAAGTTGAAAAGATTACTTCAGAAAAGGTCAAAGCAGATTCTAACTTGGTTCAAATGAAACATGTGCGAGAGCAGCCTAGAACCTTTGAAAGCTTTCTAGGAAGGTAGAAGTGTTACCTGCAATGCTGAGGTATTGCAATTCAAGTTATGAGAAAGGAGATTCCGACTAAATATCAGGAATAATTTTCTGACTGTAACAGCTCTTTGACAGTGGAACAGACTCCCTTGGGACTCTCCTTATACATGGAGATTCTTAAGCTCGATGGCCACCAGTCATGGATGCTTTACTTGAGATTCCTGCATCACAGGAGGTTGGACTAGATGACTCTTGAGGTCCCTTCCAACTCTACAATTCTAGGATCTTATGAAATGTTGTGGGCATCCATCTGTCTTAAGAGACAATGGAATGTGCTTCTGGGGTGAAGTCAAACCCCTGGAAAATCACAGCACCTGCTGTGGCTGCATAGACTAGAAACTCGTAACTGGTTTTCCAGTGTTCTTTTTGCTGCTTTAACAGTACTGAAGTGTCCTCTCCAGGGCTGCCCCTCTTCCGTCCTGTTTGAAACAAGAGCTATTTATCATGCAGCAATACTGCTGTTCAAAGCTCTACACCAGGGGTCTGGAACCTCCTGCCCACAGAACTCCTAATTTGAACCACAGGGCCATTCTTCCCCAGCCATGCTCACCATACGCCATATGACATCATGTGTGGTACAGGTGACGTTGCATCTTCCAAGGGGCAATCAGGAGTGTTATTGTAGGTCAGCAGTCAGTCGACTCCCAACTGCACCAAATGTAAGCCATGCTCCTGATTATTCCTTTGCATTCGGCCCACAAATTATCACCAAATTCAAGCCATGCTGCTGAGGTTAGGTCCATTGTGTGCACTACAAGCCAGATCCCAGCTGCTTTACAATCTTGTTTGCATGGTTGTAAAGGTAGAAGGCTCCCCTTTTACAATTTCTTGAAATACATCCACTTTATACTCGTTTAGTCCATCATAAAGGTTAGATTTTTATTTTCATCCTTTAGTCAAAAATTGCAGTAAAACAAGTTTTCACAGGACTTTGCAAACAATGTTTTAAATGTAATTCATATCTGTAAGTTATAATATTCTATTATATTGTTCAGAGGAAACATGTCTCACCTGTTTTGTAATGGATGCTTAACGTATGGTTCAGGACTGACTACCTCCTGACTTGCTGGTGTCTCGGTTTTCTCTTCTTCTGAAGTCTGAGGGTTAGAAGTGGTTTCCTATATAAACAAAGTACAAAGTTGACTTGTTGCATGTTTACTATTCTGATAATACTATGTTGCATCGGTTTTCCATTTTGCAGGATAAGCACATCCAAATATACTTCCAACTCCTAATAATAATGAATTTGACCATGATTTTGCAAATGTGGACCCTGTACCATTAGAGTTAGAATAGCTTCTTCATGTGGAGGACAAGGGTATTCTTCTCACACAGTTGTAAGTACATAAAAGCAGATTATCAAAATCAGGGCCAGCCCAAGAAATTTTGAACCTGAGGAGAACCACAAAATGGGGCCCCTTTCCATGCCAGAGAAGGAAGAATGAGTGAAGATCTACATAGGGATTTGCTGCCCCTGTGGATCCTGCCAGCTGAGGCAGGTTACCTTGCCCCATGGGTGGGTTGGCCCTGATCAAAACTACCACTTGGCTCAGGATCTCTATGGATTTCTAAATGTGTGCAAATGTCACTCCACAATGCAACATCAATTTACTTTACTTAACAAAATCTATACACCAACCAATTATAATAGAACACCCAAGTGGTTTATAAAAAATAAATCATTAAAATTGTAAAAGACAATTACATTTGTTTTTTTAAAGCAAACTAATTACTATTTCTCAGTGAACATCACATAGTCGGTTCCATTGCAATTAGGCTTCATCCTAACTCTCAAGGAATTTGTCTAGATCGAAAGGGCGACAAGATCTTGAACACTGATACCAGTGTACCTCTTCAATAACAGATAGCCCTATCTGGTCATAATGTAGTACATACTCCATTTGTATATTGTACAGCGGGTTACATTCCACAGATGGCACATATACACAAAAAAATTGTTTAGTCGAAACACCCCACTGAAACTGCCCCTGTACAAGCAGTCTTACATTCCAGAGTTGGCGCCTAACAGGTCTTACACCCCCTTCCTTTCCGCATTGGTTATTGGGCTCTAGGAGGCTCTCTCACAAACTTTGGCAAGATGTTGCAAGACCCTCCCAAAGTCCAGTAAGCAAGGAGTAGAGCGTAAAACCTCTTTCCGCGTTAGAAAAACCCTGCACAAAAAGAGCTTTTAAACTCTGCCTTTTATTAATTTGTGCAATTTCAACTAGACAGCTATCAACCATGTAAAGTGGTAATTGCATAAGGTGAACATGCCTAAGTTGAGAGTCAATTGTAAATTAAATTCGCACTTTCAGTGGTGCCACTGCCGCTCTGCTAGATTTTTAAAAGCTTTGTTACATTTATTTCTTTGTTTTTATTTATTCTTTTTATATCCCACCTTTCTTCCAAGCAGCTCAAGATGGAGTACAGAGTTCTCCATCTCCTCATTTTATCCTCCCAAGAACCCAATGAGGTATCTTAAGTTGAGAGAATGTGACTGGCCCAAGGTCACCCTGTGAAATTCATGACTGAGTGGAGATTCAAACTCTGGTCTCCAAGATCCAAGTCCAACATATCACACTGGCTCTCTTAACCACTAAACTGCCCCAGCATATGAAAATATGGCAGGATTAAGTAATTATTGGGTTCTGTTATGCCATTTTCTATCCTAATTTGCAAGACTTGACAATATGATGCCGAAAGCTGTTTACTAAACTTAAGACTATACACAGCTACAAGTTCAGACCTTAGTAAATTTGAGACCACACAGAAACAGGAGACACAACGGACTGGATCAATATTAGGTTATTTGATCTTTGTTCCCACTGAAATCAATGTGCAAACTTAATTTAGGTCCCATTGATTTCAGCCTATCTTAAGTAAGAATCCAGTTCAGTGAGTCAAGAACTCTGGGGAGTCCCAAGAAATGTGGTCTTACTACTAGTTACCACTCCTCAACAAATCAAGATTCTGAACCTGAAAGGAAGCTACTTCTAGAAACTGAAGATGGTTTAAAAAATAAAGCCAATTATGACAATAAAAATTTTAAATTATTTGTGTCAAATAATGCTGCATTGCCAGATAATCCAAGTATCTGTCTGCTGACTAACAATGGTCTTCAAAACTATGTCAATTAAAATTAGTAAACAGAAAATAGCAATTTGACACTGCCAGCACCGGTACTGATGAAACACTTATTTATCACCTGCATTCTTTGTTGTAATTACATGCTCTAATCTGCCCATCACACTCTTCCTTAAGAATGCCTTTGAACAATCCACATCATATAGTCATAATCTCTTCAGCTAGGAATCCAAGTTACTCATATCCAACTGTGGCAACTAGCAACAAAATTAGTGCTGGTGCATAAAACATTACAGATACAAAACTAAAGACTGAATACTTACCCTTCCAATACTACATGGTCCAGAAAGGTTTTCAATCATGGTGATGAATACCTTGCAAAATATAGTACTTTAAAACAAGCCCCCTTCAAATACCCCACATGCAGTTGTGCTTTGGACGATGATGAAAGTGACAAAAACGAGGAACTTGTTAAAACTGGGAAATATCAGAAAATGAGCTTTCAAAAGTGTTTGGGTGCTTAAGAGTATGAATTTGGGTACTTAAGATTATTATAATTATGGATCACTCCATAGTTATTCTGTTTCTTTGATGCTTAGGAAGCAGCTTGTATTAATGTGTATGGACTAAGAAAAATAATACATTTTAAAACTATGCCTACTCATGAAAATTAGGTTAGCAATAGAATACATTTTCCTAAAGGCAACTGCAGAGGAGAATACTGAATTCATGCTACAGCCAGGCAAGACTCAGTCCTTCAGTAAAAGGTTGCTATTCTAAGACACAAGTTTAACTTGCTGCTGCTGCCTATATACAGTGTCAGAACCAATTTACAGGGCTACTTGGCTCATAGCCTGAGTTTCCCCCAGCACAAATGTTGCTAAATGAGCTGTCATAGTCCTCCACCGCACCCCCCCAAATCCTGCTTTTGAACGTTACCACTCCACCCACATTGGGATAGGTGGCAGTGACAAGCAAAGCAATTTCTTGTTTTGAAATTAACGATTTAAGCGATCTTTTGGTGACGACAAAGGTGTAAAGCTAGGGTGTCGGGTAGGGAGAAAGAAAAAGAAAGCAGACACCAAGGTGCGGGGGTGATTTGTATGGAAGCAGCTCAACTTTGGGCCAGTCTTCCGTTCGCAAGCAACAGATTCCCAAGGGCTTTAGGCAAAGTCCGGGGAATCCGAAAGCTGGTTCTTCCTAGTCGATCTTAAGGAGCGCCCCATGGCCACGTTTCCTTGCGAAATACTGGTGTGAAAGAAGGAAGGCGAGAGCGGCCGGCGTGCGCATGCTAGGCCCGGGACCCCCCGAAAAAAGGTGGCGTCTTCTACCTCAAGGACCGGGGCGGCACGAAACGCTCTCGGGGTGTGAAAAGAGAAGGCTGCGACCACTAGGCAAGCCGGCCTCAGCCCCAGCCTAAGAGAGGAATAGGCCGCTGAGGGAAACGTGGGGATGGGGGAGGTGCCACGGCGCCGTGTGGCGCCTAGCAGGGCAAGAACTGACGAGGGAAGGAGAAATAGGGAGGTTTTTGAGCGGGGCGTCCGAAGAGAGAAAGCGGCGGGAGCCTCTGAGCCGGCTCGACGCCCCCGGCCACGCCGAAAACGAAGAAGTTAGGTCCTCGCCCCCACCCGTAGGACACACTCTCGCCCGCCTCCCTCCCCTCACACGGGCCCTCTCGGGTCTCCTCTCTCCCCCTCCTCACGCGACCCCTCCCCTGCCGCCCCTCAACGCCCCCGCCCAAGCTGTGACGGCACAATCCGGCTCGCGCTCCGAACCCGCCTAGACCCCCCCCGCCACGCGCCCCTCCTCTCCTCTCCCCCGCCCTCCGGCCCCGCTCGACTACTCCCCACGAGTCACCTCATCGCACGCGCCGGCACCTTCGGCTCGCCGTACACATGCGCGCGCCACACAGACACACACACATTGCCAGGCCGCTGCCGCCGCCCCTTCCCTTCCTTCCCTTTTTTTTTTTACCCCTCTGCTAGGATAGTCTCCCTCCGCCACGGTCGCCTTCTGGCTCCCGCCAAGCCTTTCCCCGGCCCCTCCGGAAGACGAGAAGGAAGGCGCTGGGTCGGAGAGGGAGGAAGCGGGAACGAGGACACTCACCGGTTCCACCGTCGCCATCTTAGATCGCTCTGATCGTACAAGCGCGGAGGGGAGGGGAGAGGTAAGAAGGGGGAGGCGGATAACAAATCAGGTTCGAAACCGATTGGCCGGCGGGGCGTCACGTGGGGGCGACGGCCGTTTTGGCGGCTCGGCGCGTGCGTGCGTGGGGTGGGGGCCGCTGCGGGGAGGGGTCGGTGTCCGAGGCTGGAGGGAAGGTGAAGCGGTGGCTTCTGGGAATTGTAGTCTCCGGTGAAGTTCTTTCCCCCGCTTCCTTCCTTCCTTTTCCCCTCCTCCTCCTCCCCGCCTCCCCCCTTTCAGGAGAGACAGTCACGTGGGAAAGGCAGACAGGGGCATGTCAGGCTGAGGCGGCGCTGCTCGGAACGGCAAAGTGACCCCTAGAGTCCGAAAGCGGCAACTGCAGAATCTGTCTGCGTCTCGCCACTGAGGCTTGTCTCCCTTTCTGTCATGGAGGTGTCAGCATGTGTGATGCAAGCCCCTCCTCATCCCTCAAGTCACCGCCATTCACATCCCCATCCAAAATCTGATTGGTGGGCGACAGACGAGTAATCCACCGGCACGTCTGCCTCACCATTTCCACACGCAAGAAAAATATTCACATTTATCCGACAATTTACCGACCTGCGGCGTCTAATCGGACGAGGCAGCCCGTCTGTGTGCCAGAAACAAGCAAAATGCACTGAAATGCTATAGACAGCTCAGTCGGTAGCACATGAGACTTACTCTCAGGCAAAAGATGCATTGCAGGGGGTTGGACTTCATGGTCCTTTCCTACTCTACCATTCTATGATGGTTATTTTAAGGTGGTTCTGGCTGGGGGGGAGCAGGGTAGTTGTTGGCAATTCCATGGATATTTCTCCACACTCTGTAATACATAAACAAATAGTTAAAGAGGAATGCTGGCATCCTTCAGAGATGAGGCACTCTGCTTCGCAATCAAAGGCAATCTGTCGTTAAATCGACTTTTTAAAACCTCCTTGCTAGAAGAGAAAAGCATTCTGCAAAGTTGGAAGACTTAATCATCAAACCCTTAAAACAATGTGTTCCATTCAGGGGAAAGGCACTAATGGCCATTTAAAACACAAACCAACGTTAGCTACCTGACTTTAGGACATATTTGTGTAATTCAGAAGTGGGTCTTGGTAGGTGGGTTCTTCCACAATTTTAATCACATTTTAAAGTCATATTTAAGAGAGCCATCCAAAAGCCTGCCAGAGCTGGCCTGAGGGGCTGTTGAAAGTGACATTAAGGACTTCTCTTCTAGAAAAGGCCAGTGGAATAGTCTTTAGCCTGCTAGAGGCCTCCAGATACACCTCCAGAAAACTGGAGACATAGAATAGATGCCCTGTTGGCAGTACTGTATTCCACTTGGTGTGTGAAGCAAAACTAGGGTATGCCAGGAGAATCCAAGGATCCTAATTCCCTTCACTAACACATTCCCCCAAAGAGGCCTGAATTACCCTAGCTCTGGAGTCTGCAATTACCGTAATTCCCTCCCACTGACTACCAAATTCCTTCTCATTAAAAGTTGCTGCTCCAGCTTCTGCCCTGGCCACAGCAAAGTAGCAGGATTTAGGAAGCAATAGGGACCGCTTACTAGCGGGAAGGTAAATGGCGTTTCCATGTGCAGCTCTGGCTCACCAGAGCAGCGATGTCACGGTGGCCACGTGACCTGGAAGTGTCTCCGGATAGCGCTGGCCCCCGGCCTCTTGAGTGAGATGGGCGCACAACCCTAGAGTCTGTCAAGACTGGCCCGTACGGGCAGGGGTACCTTTACCTTTACCTTTTAGCTCTGCTACACCAGGACTATAACCAGAGTTATAATCTACAATCACATTATGCTTTGTGAAATTTGCCAGTCAATTGCTTTGAATGACACCTCAAGCTCTACATGGCAAAACCAAGCATATGGAAACAATCAGTTGAAATCCCTAAAATGTAACATTTTATTTTTATTCATCTATTTAAAACATTAAGACTGCCATCTTAATCCCATTTATGTAGGAGTAAGACCCATTAGAGTAAGTTCCAGGCAGGCTGGTATGTAAAGAAGAGTTTCTTCGAGCACTTGGGTTTCAAGTCAACTGCTGGAAGGTTGTATCAATTTACTTTGACAGTGCACTGTTATTGGTCAGGTTCTCATTTTACTGAAGTGGGTGTTGTGTAGTTAGATTGTTTTCAAAACAGACATTAAAATAGGACTCTAAACTCTTATGTAGGAACCAGGGCAGGGCTGAAAACTTACAAGTCCTTTCCTGGGGGTGGGGGAAGCTGGACAAATCACAATTCAGCACTTTCCAGCTTTTTGGTAGATGTGCTGAACATCATGTTTGTCTCCAAAGTGATCATTTGCACTGCTCTGGCTTCCCTTAGTTAAAGAAAAGATATATATTAGTTATTAGGTACTTATTTTCAAATGCCCTTGGGGTGGGAGTAAAATAAGTAATATTCTTTTGCATATTTTAATTTACGAACTTCATCAATATGCTTTCCATTGAAGAATTAAAATCTAACAGTGGACCAATAGCTAGAAGTCACAATGTATTAAGAGTGTTCATAAAGTTATATATTGATTCATTGCAACTGTGAAAAAAGAAATATATACTTGCTTACTTCTGTCAGAAATTTTCAAGGCATGCTGATCCCCCCCCCCCCCGTATACTAGGCATGCATTTTATGCAACTGCAAGTCTTGGTGATGTTGCTGCAGCATGCAAACATAGTGCCTATTTGACAGCAAAGGTTGCAAGGATTTTAGCTGGGGCAATCAGAATAAGATCCACTATTTTACTTTGGATTCAAAACCCTAAAATGTATTTTATATAACTGACTTTTTATTTCTATTCTTTGTATATCGTATTGTTGTTTTATTGCTATGGCTGACGCAAATATTCATTCATTCATAGTGCCTGCTTGTACTGGAAGTTTGGAAAGACATTTGTATTATGCAGATCATTGCATGAAGCATTTTGGAGCTGCTAGAATTAATTTAGAAACACTAAGACTAGCTCATGTTGCTGGGGAACAACTGATTTATTCATCGGATTTTCAGGTGAGCAGATGCTGTTGACAAGATCGGACTGAACCACAATGAAGGATGGGATCTATTCACATACGTATTATTATGCAGACGTGGGGACAAGACAAACCTAGGAAGAATTGTATTCCATTATTATTGTTGGTAGGGCGACGCTAAGGTCCCATTGGTTTGAACAGGATTCACAACTAAATCTTTACCAGTATTCTGTGGTGCTTTCCCATGCATAAGACAGTGGTGCGATGCAATCTTCTGTAAATTTGCTAGCATGCATCACTGTATTTAGTGAGGCTTACTCCTAAGTAAGGTTAAGTTTTGTTGGAATGCGCCTACTCGCTTTTGCTGTGAAACTAGTACAAATGAATGTACTGTACACTGTTCACCCAAACTAGACAGTTCTTGTTCCCCCTTGAGCAATTGAACCATGAGTGTTTTATTAGAGCTCCATCGCTTTGGAAGGTTTATCAGGAGCATTTGCAGCATTTGTGAAACCCTCGTGTAGTTTGTGGTCATGATCCAATGAGGATTTACATTCACAAAAGCAACAGTGTGTCAGGGTTTATAGTTTCCTCTTGAGCATCTCATCCCTTAAGTCATTTCCATCCTGGTATAATTTTATTGTATCATGCCAGTTTGATTCAAGAGACCTCTAGGTGGCATACAATTCAAAATCCGTAATACAAGCAGTGGCACAAACAAGACACAACCACAGTCGTTACACAGTGCTTATAGCTGCCCTAAAATCTTTTATTAAAATGAGCCTGGCAGATCTCTTGAGGGGGTGTTCTGGCATGTGGCTGCCACCACAGTGAAGGCCCTACTTCTAGCAGAAACCCGTCTGGTTTTACATAATGAAGAAATCTAAAGCAGAGCAGCCCTATAAGATTGTAGTACATGGGAAGGGGGAAGCTTAAAATCTGGACCCTATGAATCTTTTAGACAATCCCTTCCAGGTAAAAGTTGCCCTGAATTTTTGTTTTAATTTGCTTTTATATACTTTCACATTGGTGTTTATTGGTTTTAGTTTGCATTTTGTTTAATGTTATTGTTTGTTTTTGATATTGTATATCCCTTAGAAATTTGTAAAATATTAAGCATTTACACATTCTAATAAATAAAGTGAATTGCTGCTGTTTATTTGTGTGAGAAACAGTTTGCATGTGTGAGAAACGGTTTGCAGAGAACTATATAATAAACCCGATTATGAGTGGATCTGAAAACAGATATGTACCTCTGAATCATAGTCTACATATCCATAATTCATGAAATGTGGAAGGAATGGGAGGGGGATGTTGAATACATCCTGTTCTCGATGTACTGCCATTATCCAATGTATTTTTGATTAAACTATTATTAGCGACTAGACAAAAAAATTTGAATATTATGTTTTATTATGCACATGCCAGCACAGCATCCTGTTACAACTGACAAGATGGAGTTTGATTGCCACTACTTTAATTTGGCTTCAAGATAACCCCTTTCTGCGAGTTTTCTCTTTATTTTTTCATTTTGTGGAAATTCTTGTGAAAAACTAGAAGAGCATGGCTACATATATTTCAGGGCTTGGAGCCAGAGTCATTAATATTTTTATTGGAAGATATTAAGTGAAACCTAATGCTATACAGAGGGTTGGATGACTTGTTCTGGAGGCTGCTTTTGATGGTGCTATTACATATTTTTACATTCTTAATGCTTCACAACATTTTCTATACATTTGCATCTAATTTGTACAACCCATTTGCATCTAATCTGTACAACCCATTTGTTTCTTTATAGTATTTCTTACCTGCCCTTCACCATGAGGTCCCTGGGCTGGTTGCAACAGTATAACACATAATATACTGTTGCAGATATGGAGTAAAAGTTTGGGGGGGGGTGTCAAGGCACCCTTAACAGTTAGTGAATGTTAGAAATTAATAAAATGCTAGAATTTGGGACTTTGAAGGGAAGACACCAGGACAGTAGAAAAATATGGGCTAAGCTTCCTTTTCAGGCCAGGGCCTCACCTGGGGTAGAAGTTGCTAAAAATGACAAAGTCATTAATACATCAAGGGAAACCAACCTCAAGTCTACATCTTAGCAGGCTGGGACAGAGGCACAGAGATGGCGTGCAGGATGCCTTGGACTCCAATACTGTACTGCTGTGGGGAACAAGCCCTTCTTGAGATGTAATGCTCTGAGCTCTTTTCCAAAGTAGACCCAGGTGTAAATATGTGTGCGATAAACTAATTCATTACTCCTTGATTCCCATTGGAAACGATCCTGCGTGAGTGCGGGGAACTCCCTGGAAATTTGCTACTGCTCAGCAGAGATTGGTGGTGGCGCACAACCTTTGTAACAATAATATTAAAACTGCAAACTTAAAATTATATGAACAAGTAAAACCATTATTTCTCTCTTTCCCCCCTCCACGTGTAATTCCTTGTGATTGAAGTAGAACATCTGGATAAAGGGAAATAGTGGAAGACAATGAAGTTCAGCCAAACATTTACCGTCAGCCACCACTGCTGTAAGATGTAACACTTTACTGACAAAAGAAATGCATTTCCCCCTTTCAAAGTAAAGCAATCTTTCTAATCAAATCAATCAAAAATTGTATTATGAAATCTTGCATATCTGATTTTCTATACACTGTTTTGCTGATTTTTTAAAACACTCTCGTGCTTTTTGCATTAATAAAACAGCAAAAACAACACTGTTCACAAGACGCATGCACACCATCAGCCAAAACAAAGCACTTTTAATCAAGTGTTAATGATTTTAATGGGAAAGTGTGCATAATACTGAATATATTGGTGAAAATAACACAGATAAATGCATTGCATTGGGGGTAATTGCTTGCAAAAAAATTGCACAGTAGCTAAAACAGCACTAAAAAAGTGTGCACTAACGTGCTGGTGAAGTTTGTTTCTTTTTTTTATTGCAAATTGCTGCAAAACGTGGAGGGGGTACACTGAAATGAACAGATCTTACACTGGAAGCTGCGGGGCTCTTTCCTGAAGCATCATCCCATTGACAGTGGACCTTCCACCCGCTTTGACCTTTCCTGCCCTCAAATCGGTACAACTCCCACCGCAGCCCTTCTTTTCTCACCACCACCACTACTCCGCCGCCAGAACCTGGAGAAGAAAACACGTCCAGCAACCCGACCTTTTCTTCCACCATCAAACTTACAAGTTGGAAGGCCCCCTTCGGGGATCCGAACAGGATCCCTAGTGCTTACATTCGGGAGCGTGAGGTGTCGGGGCGCACACGACTCGGGAGTTCAACCTCGGAGCTGCGCAAGGGAAAGGCACTCTGCACATGGCCAGAGGCACGCCTTCATGGTCGCCCCTGGGCTGAACGCACCCGGACATGAAGGAAAGGAGGGAGGCATATATATATATTTGCAACCGAGACTGAAATGACGACGGCTGGGCCTACCCCGTCCTATTCCCGCCCTGCTCCAACCACACACCCACACACCCCGCCTTTTGTCGGCCTGCTCCGCTCTCGCCCAGCCGCCGGAGGAAGCGCCTACCCAGAGCGGGCAAGCGAAGGCAGGGCCGGGCAAGGCCGGGCCTGGAGCTCCTCCCCGTTTCAGTCAGCGGAGAGTTCCGCCTTTCCCTCCTCCCTTTCCCGGTTTGCCGCCGCCTGGCTGGGCCGCTCTTGTGGCGGCGGCGGCGGTGGCTCCTCCAGCGAGCAGCATGGCGGCCGTGGAGGCCCGGGTGTGCGAGACGTCGGGCTGCAGCAGCGAGGCCAAGCTGCAGTGCCCCACCTGCATCAAGCTGGGCATCCAGGGCTCCTACTTCTGCTCGCAGGTAAGCCCTTACTGCTGCTCCCGCGCGCGAGACAGAGGCGCGCGGGCTCCTGCTGCTCCTCCCAGCCCAAGACACGGGCTGGCCGGCGTCCCCACGTTCCCCGCCCGCTGAGGGAAAACACGGCTGCTGCCCGCCTTCCCACAGTTTCCTGGCAGGGGGTTTTTTAATGCCCGCGAATGGCTACCAGAGCTCCCGCCGCAGCTCCTCCCGTCCTCCCCGAAAAGCAGGTGGCGCATGAGGGCTGGGCCCGTCCCCAGGCAGCCCGAGCACGTTTTTTACTCGGAAGTAGCTTCCCAGGGGCCTGCTCCCGAGCCCCCTTAGCAAGCAGGACTCTCTCTCTCTGCCTCTCAAGTTTGCCTCCTTACGCCCCCACCCCATACTTCTCTCTTGGGTGCCCCGGGAAAGGTCTGAACCACACAGACACGGGTTTTATTATTTGCTTGTTTCCATGGTCTCTGTGGGTTTCCTTCCCGCCCGCCCCCGGCAAAAACAGCGCCCTCCTGTTGTGGCCCTGGGTTTCTTAAAAAAAGTCGAAATGGAGAGGTGGGGAAGGAGCTGGGTTTGGGGGCCCCATTCTGGACCAGGGGAGCCTATGGAGCACCGCTGCCTCCTGCTGCAAACAGGCCACAGAAATGCTGAAGCGGTTCTTCCTTTTGTGTGTCCCCCGTTCTGTGTTTCCATGTGCAACAGCTGTTTTTATCTATTTCAGCTCTGTCATCAAGATTTGCAGGGCATTTTTCGGAGAGAAAGGGGCTGGGTATGATGGCTGTGTGTGTTTTTCCCCCAGCCTATCTACAAGTAATTGTTTCGGTGCTTCAGACATTTTATTTTTATTGCAGAGTGGATTTCGCTTCAGGTCTGTGCTTCAGAAACAATATAGAGAACTCTGTTTTTTGGCGGTACTATTTGTGCACAGTGTGTTTCAGTGTGAGGTTTTATTGGAGCCAGGACTCAATCCTGGAACTATTTTACTTTTTTATTGTCTCACTTAGTCCTAGAACATAATTGAGAAAGGTGACTCTGAGCATGTGTGGGGAACATTACTTTCATCATTTATTTGCATGCGTAGGTTTGCAGTTTGTCTGACTTGTGAGGTTTTCAGTTTGAACTGTGGCACCTTTATTTTTCAGAAGCAAGCCAGTTTCTGCCCAATTATGGGTTAGAAGTGTGCTTTCTCTTAGATATCTAGGGTATCTGCCTCATGGGAAATTTAATCACTGAGATTGACACACAGCCTCTTAACTAATATTTCAAAAATTCACAGTTGATGATTGGCTTTGACATTGTACTGTGCTAAAAGTTTCATGGGTTAATTATTTAACATGCATCATGTGGAGTTGTTTCTTTGGCCATGTGACACAACTGTCTTCCTGGTTATAGTCATACATAGTTGACTTTGCAGATTTTAGTCCTTTGGAGCTAAATTTCTTGGAAAGAATTAAATAAAGTGTAGTCTGATGTTGACTGACTGTATTTCCTAATATGCTGATTTCAGGAAACTGTAATTATAAATGCGATAATAATAGATTTTCCCCCTCTTAAAAGAAATGTAGAATGCATGAAGTCTTGCAAACCCCAAATCACTCAGTCTCTCATACCTCAATGGCATTTCCATCGATTAAAAGAAACACAAACAATATAAAGTGCCCAAAGACACAAACAGTAAAATCTTTTTGTTGTACCATTGTACCATTATAATTACACACAGAGCAAGAGGTGTGATAAAACAATATTTTAAAAGAGAAGTACTTGAGTCCTGGAGATAGAAGTTTACTACTTACCACTTAATTTCTGGGGTTAGAAATATATCAGTGTTTTGTTCAGCTATCTCTGAATCTTGATGCTGCAACATAATACTATATCCTAGAGTTGAGAGTTCTAAAAAGACAGTTGCTGCAACTTAGTGTTGCCATTCTAGTTTCTCAGGCTCCTAAAAGCTCTGAGTGATAAGAGTGGTATCTGTTTACAGTGACCTTTAATACATTGAACGGCTGATAGGAATCTTAAGTGTGTTTTAATTTTAAAATGACTAAATTTTGCACCAAAACAACTAAAAGAGCACCAGGTGGAAGAGTAACATTAATAAGATGGAAATGTGAGGATGCAAGTCAGACAATTTTTCCAAAGAACATAAGAAGTTGGCCTGCTGGATCCAGCACCCTGTTCTCATATTGGCCAAACAGATGCCTGTGCTCTGGCCAAACAGACAGCGCTCTGCCTACCTGCAATTCTCAGCAATCCAGAGGCACAATTACCAGTAATTCTCCATTTAAACCATTATTGTCTGCACTGTGACAACAGCTCTCCAAGGTCTCAGGCAGAGACCTTTCTCTTTACTAGTTGACGCTTAGAATTGGGAATACTAGGGGTTGGACTGGGACTTTTTTTTATCACCAACCAGACAAAAGAAGCAAAACTTGAAAGATGCCTCTCTCTTCACACTACGTGAATGAACATTAAAATGGTAAACATGAGTGTAGAATGATGCAGTTTGGGACAGAAACCCTCCAGTATCACATACACGCAGATGGGATCTAAGCGTATACCTTCTATTTGTGTGAATAGCTATATAATCAAGGATATTCGTACCTCAACGTTAGATGTAGGCGGAGTGATATAGCAGCATCATATGCTCCCAGACCAGCTCTTTGAGATTGACTAGGTCAGCCTTTGTGAACCTGGTGCCCTCCAGATGTTTTTGATTACTTCTATCAGCCATAGTCAGCATGGCTGTACTGAAACTGATCTAGTTCATTCAGTGGTGCTTTGAGTTCAGTTTTTCACGTGCCAATTCTCATCCACCTACATGAGACTGATCTGCTCAGTGTCCACGCTTGGAAGGTTGGACTTAGAACCCCGGTCTGCCAGGTCCAACCTGCTATTCAACCCATTGGCTCCGAATGATCGAAGCCTGAGTTTGGAATCATAAACTTTACAAAAACACGAGTCCGTGCTGTAATAGGCAGACATAGGCTTGTGCAGATCTACTTCATTTTTATTACTAAAACCCAAAGATCTACCAACCAGAGCCAGTTAGTTATAATGAAAGGATAGGGTGCATCCAAGCGCACGATAAATTTTGTTTTCAGTATCAGATCGCAGTCATTTATGATATACAGTTAAGTTATTCATATACTGCTTTTCAGACAACCCCCACAAGCTGTTTGCATTGAATTATTATAGAATCAAAGAATCGTAGAGTTAGAAGAGGGACCCCAAGGGTCATCTAGTTAATCCCCCTGCAATGCTGGAATCACAACCAAGACATCCATGACAGATGGCCTCCCAACCTCTGCTTAAAACCCTCCCAGTGAAGGAGTGTCCACCACCTTCCAGGGGAGTCCGTTCTACTGTCACACAGCTCTTACTGTTGGAGTGATTAAAAATAAAAGTAGCATCATTTCCCCTTTGGAAGGGTAGTTGGCCCATTTGGAAGAGCTGCAAAGTTTGCAGTGGTAACTTATGTCGGATCATATGTGTCTCTCTGACACAAGAATGCCCATTTACGAATGTTGGGGAACTGGTAGCAATGCCTTCATGAGTTAGACACCACAAGAACAGAATATCTCATCTCCTAGTAAACGATAGGAGATGACTCATCCCTTGTGTTATGTTTGAAAACAGCCTTCGGAAGGACCTTGAGTTAATCCAATCCAGCATTATTTTTCAGTGGGATAGGGATGAGTTGCATCTGCTCTTTTATATATAATGTTTTTGCTCTTGCTTTTCCACTTGTTTTTAATGTGTGTTTTTGCAAGTCTCCCAAGCTTATCTTTCTAATAAATAAAATGATAATAAAGCAGTTCTCTTGTCTTTTAACGCACTGCTGGTAAACAGAAACGTAAACGTTCAGCAGGACATTTTTTAGGACACGAACGCTTTTTGCGTGTGACGGGCGGACTGTATTCCTGACACCCACATTATACATGGGCCTGTATTGACCTCCCTGCCACACAATGCAGGAATAGATTGTAGCCACTGTCTTAAAATGTTAGGAGTGTAGTCCAAAAAGAGCAAAGGGAACACCCAGCCTTTTTATTAGTTGGTACTGCTTCTGTGTGAAACAGGCTCCACCGCTGCTTCATGTTTAGTGCTGTTAAAGATTGTGGGAGCAGCTTTAAGGAAGTTGCCTTATTTCTTACTGGAAATGGTTCTGGCCTTCATAAAAATGCTAATATGGTTCCTTCATCATATCTGGAACTTCAGAGTCCTCCTGATCGCCCACAGTGGGACAGATTCTGTATTTTTCTATAGCAGGGAGGGGATGAGTGTGACAAAAAAAGGGAAGGTTTTTGAGTAAAGAAAACATGAGTAATTTTGACTATCACTGTCTTGGCAGCTGAATGATTGTTTTTAAGGTTGTGCGCAGAGCTGGAGATGCTGCTTCACAGGAAAATAATGCTTGTTTGTTTTTTGAGGGTGATTAAAAAGGGGACAAATACAAGCCTTTAGCATTATTATTATTATTATTATTAATTTATTAAATTTATATACCGCCCTTCATCTGAAGATCACAAGGCGTTTCCCATTGAAGTGAATTCCCTTAGTTGTCTAAATAAGTTTATGGAGGATAACAGGAGTGGGCTGCACTTCTGTCTCAATTCAAGGGTTACAGTGTGTGTCAAGTTAATCTGGTGTTTTGTGTGAAGACACCGGTGTGGAAAAGTAGAGGGCTGGGGGGGGGGAACCAGCCAAAAGGTGCAAATCTCTCTCTTTCTCAGTAGCTAAATGGTGTCCTTGAGCTAGCTGAAGCTGTTTCTGGAGGTAGCAAATAAACAAAATGGAAAATCTTCCGGTGTCATAAATCCCATTACTTTTCTTACAAGAATAGGAAAATGGGACAGTTTCACCATAACATGATAGCTGCTGGTGAAATAATCACGTTTGCTCTTGGTAATTACATAGCGGGAGATGTTCACTTGATTCAACATGGCTTCATGTGCAAGTTTGACCCCTTTTGGAAGATGGAAAGGTGGGCATGGCGAATGGAAGCATATAAACAATTAGATTTGGTGTTGGTGCTAGATATGGATTTTGCAGCTGGTATGTGAGGCTCTGGGAGGGGTGGCACCTGGAGACAGGGGAGGAAACAGGGCAGCATCCATACACAGTCTGCAGAGGGAGTTACGGGATTGTGGAGCTGGCAATGGTGCAATCTTCACCCATAATATGACTGATTACTTGTTTGGTGCTGTGAAAATATTTTTCAGGGTGGATTACTATCAATGTAATAGTGGGGAAGCATGGAGTACTAAGAAGGTTCTCCTTACCTGTGCCATTTCTTCCGTAATCCTCTGGGAATTGTAGCTCTGTGATGGGAACAGGGGTCTCCTAATAGCTCACAGCACCCTTAACAAACTATGTTCCCCACTATTCTTTGGGGGAACCCATGAACTGTTAAAATGGTATCATAGTGCTTTAAATGTGTGGTGCATATGTGACCTCTCCAATTAACATACTGTTTTTGAACTGAAATTGGATTTCTTAATGATGTAAACATACTCCTGTCTATTTTATAGTCTATGTCTTGTAGCTTGCAGAACTACTTTATATGATTTAAATATATTGCAAAGCATTGCTAACTTTATACCACTTGCCTTTTTCTTTTTTCTTTAAGGAATGTTTTAAGGGAAGCTGGGCTACTCACAAGTTGCTACACAAGAAAGCAAGTAAGAAAATACTTTTGCTTTTATTATACTCTTTTGTCGCCCTGACGTGCACAGAGTTATAGGGGGTGGGGAGGGGAGGGGAGGGTTGTAAGCCATTTAATCCAGCCCCTTGTTCAGTGCAGTTGTTCCATTGTTAAAGCATTCCAGGTGGCTTCCCAGCATTTGCTTGAAGACCTTCAGCAACAGAGAGCCTGGCCCCCTTTAGGTAATCTGTCCCACTGTAAACTGCTCTTTCTGTTAAGATGTTTATCTTCATGTTCAACCAAAATCTACCCTCCTGTATCTCAAGACCATTAGATAGGGAGAGAAAAGTTCTGTTAGTGTCAACTTAAGGCCAGTGTGAAGATGGGTGCTCCTTTATTTGGCAGTACTTTCCAAGTCCCTCCCAATTCTGGCCCAATTCTCATTAGGCACGTCCAACTCTCAAGAGGCTGTGATCTACTCCCAGTAAAAAATAATTGGCAGTGATCTACCCATTGTCATTGGAGGGAGGAGGAGCCAAAGTTGTTGCTTTTTTTAGGGGATGGTTGGGCAGAGTTTTTGTTAGGGGGCATTGCACAAAGTTGCTGAGCTTTTTTGATGGGGTGATGCGACAAACCGCTCACTAACGACGACACCAATGTAGATCACACGCAGCGCTAAACGGAATACAGTGGTGCCTCGCAAGACGAAAAGAATCCGTTCCGCGATTCTCTTCGTCTAGCGGTTTTTTTCGTCTTGCGAAGCAACCCCATTAGTGGCTAAGTGGATTAGCGCTATTAGCGGTTTAGCGGCTTAGCGGCTATTAAAGGATTAGCGGCTAAGCTGCTAAAAGGCTATTAGCGGCTTAGCGGCTTAGCGGCTTAGAAAAAGGGGGGGAGCGAAAAAAAAATAGCAAGACTAACAAGTCTTGCGAAGCAAGCCCATAGGGAAAATCGTCTTGCGAAGCAACTCAGAAACGGAAAACCCTTTCGTCTAGCGGGTTTTCCGTCTTGCGGGGCACCACTGTACTACTTCCGCTTTCTGTGTTCCAAAACATGCAGTGCAGTGCCAAAGGAGGGACATAGCACCGGGAGTAATGTCCCAGTGATCGACCAGGATCACGCATGATCAACCACGATCACACAGGCGATCGACCTGTAGATTGCGATCAACCGGTTGGACATAGCTTGCCTATACCACTTCAAACTGCAGGTATGGACTTGCATGTGATTGCATGCAACTCCATACAGCAGACATTCCCTTCACATTCTCTCCAAACAAAAATCTAGGTGTTGTGGGGGGAAAGGGCTTTCGATTAGCCTTCTCCCTGATGTGCTTTCTTTCTATGTACAATATTTTTTTTTGTTTACTTTGTTTGGATGGGCATTCAGTTACATGTGAGGCTATCCTTGTCTGAAGCGGTGTAGCTCAGACGCTGGTTTGAGACTTTAGTTCCTTTCCCCCCAAAAAAGCTTCTGTTTATTTTCTGAGTCTTCCATGCACTCAATCTTACCCAGTTGTGAGTGGGTGTTTGTTTCTTAACCACTGCTGTTCTTCACTGCATCAGAAGTTGTTTCTAAATAGCTGGGAATGCTGTTGGAATATTATTAATGGCCAATGTGGTTGAGAGAAGCTGATGCGAATAAAAGCACAGAAAGTGAACAGAAAGTCAGTGGCACTCGTAGAAGCCATAAACTTTCAAATAATGGTTCTGTGTTTGCTGCCATTAATGACAAGGTTGAAGGATTTGATCTGTGTTCTGGTTGTAGTTGCAATCTTGAAATCTAGGTTAGGTTGTTTATGTATCATATCTTAATCCAGTTTCAGGAGCCTTTTAACAAAAAAAAAGTAGATTGGATCTGGATTTCAAGGAGAAAGCAAGCTTAAAAATACCTGCTCTAAAGGAAAAGGAAGAGTTATGAATATACTCAAATTCCTTTTTGACATATATTCCTTCTGGTTTTTTTATGAAGTTGGTTGTCTTATAATTATAGCATTATTTTGTAATTTTGTTTCGTTGGGTTTTTTTTTTTTACAGAGGATGAAAAAGCGAAGCGGGAGGTTTCTGCCTGGACTGTAGATGGTGACATTAACACAGATCCCTGGGCTGGCTATCGATATACTGGAAAACTTAGGCCACATTATCCACTGGTAAGTAGCTGAAATAACTGAAATGGTGTATCACTTTTAAATCCTGCGGTGATCAAACTGCAGTAAGAAAATTTCTTAGCAATTATGCTGCCCAGTTGGAAAAATGGTAATAGAACTGTAATTTTGTAAGACACTTACACAATTCTGGTTGTTAGGTTTTCAGGGGGCAATATGCAGCAAAAAGGAAGTCAAGGCACTATCATAAAGTAGAAGACAGCATTAGGAGAGTATAAATTAATCCTACGGAAGGAGAACAAAGGAAAGGAAGGGGGCGGTCAAATCAGTTTTAGCTGGATATTCAATAATTTAATAGTCATGCTCTCATGCTCCATTCCCCAGCCCACAGGTATCTTTCAGCCTGCAAATGGCTGAGCATATACTGCTAAGCAGCAGAGCAATTTGATGTGAGTAGATCTGATTTGGCAACACTTATTGGTCCTCTAGTACTAAGAACCTCAAAGTGTGTCGTGGGATTTAGAGCCTATAGCTCATTTTGTGTTAGAGAAGGTGGAATGGGAACAAAGCAGAGAGACAGAATCTCTGTGGCGGTACTGCAGAACCAGAAAGCTTGCGGAATGTATGTATGTGGGACATGAGTTTAAATACAAAGTTGGCTAGCAGGTAACTCTGCTCATGCCTTTGTGCACTGAATGCTCTGTGGAAGAGGGTTTTCATCCCGTAGTAGTAGGAGATGAAATTCATCTGGTGTTTCAGTTTTTGAAGAAACACTTGATAATAAAGGGTAATCACTCCCCTCTGCAGTAGATCTGATTAATGTAACAACAAGCATAATCATTTCGGGGGTTTTCCCAAAAGCAGTGTCCTGTGATTTCTTTGCTCAGAAATTATTATTGTTTATTAAATATCTATACTGCCCTTTGTCAAAAGATCACAGGGCAGTTTACAATATAAAAACACAAAAATACAAACCATAATAACAAAACAAAAACAATAACTACTTCTTCTTATTAAATAAATTCCTCAGTTGGTTGGTTTGCATTCTTAAGATATAGTTTCTGAAACCACAGCTTGCTTGTTTGTCCAAACTCTGCTCAGCTTAACTATGGTTTGTTTACTAACAAAAATCTAACTCTATAATCTGAAGCCATGGTTTTATTGTTGGGGAATAAATCTTGTTTTGTTTGGTGTTTTGATATGTTATAAGCTCTCGGCTTTAAACAATTGATATCAGATAGGCTATAAAAATAAATACGTTTAAATCCCAATTGTGCTTTATTTAGATGCCAACAAGACCTGTGCCGAGTTACATTCAAAGGCCGGATTATGCTGATCACCCGCTAGGTAATTGCAGATGCAGAACAATTCTCACTTTTCAAACTTGCGTTTGATTCAGGCTACATTATTTTTCTTTCAGAATGGATTTGTCTCAGATGGGCTTATCAAAAGCTAAGCTTATTTTTAGCAACCAGTTCCTTTAGAAAACAAGGCTTCAAAAAGCACTTAAAAACCCCTGTGAAGGTCTCAAACAGTGATGTTTCTTGAATCCTCAAATCTAGCATTGACTCTATGCTCTCACTGGATAGCAGAAATTTAGTATGTAGCAGCAGTCCATGCTGTTTCAGCCACGGTTTCTAGCTAGAGAACTGTGTCAAATGAATTGCTTGGGAAAAAAGTAAGTTCGGGGAGAGGTCCCCCCCCCAAAAAAACATGTTTGAATGGCAGCTTGATCAGAGTCCATTAAAAGTGGGGTATCCCATGGGATATGCAAGGGAACTATAGCCGCCTCAGACATCCCCTTTAGTGCTCACCAATACTCTCGGCTTTATTTTTTGTTTATGTGGAGAGGGTTCGACTTTTTTGAGGGGGCAGTTTCTGTCTGTATTCAATTTGTTTGGTGTGTGTGTGTGTGTGTGTGTGTGTGTGTAGAGGTGCTGATTGTTTTCTGGGGTGGGAAGTGGTGAAAGCCTGTGCATCATTCTTTGTGCTTCCATGAATTCGTGTGCAGTGGTACCTCAGGTTACATACGCTTCAGGTTACAGACACTTCAGGTTACAGACTCCGCTAACCCAGAAATAGTACCTTGGGTTAAGAACTTTGCTTCAGGATGAGAACAGAAATCGTGCTCCGGCAGTGAGGCGGCAGCTGGAGGCCCCATTAGCTAAAGTGGCGCTTCAGGTTAAGAACAGTTTCAGGTTAAGAACGGACCTCCAGAACGAATTAAGTACTCAACCCGAGGTACCCCTGTATATGTTGCCCACAACAGTTTCCTAGATTCCTAATGTGCCCCCAGGTCCAAAAAAGATTGGAGACCCCTAAATAATATATATAAAACATTTATTACTTATTCCTTTCCCATCTGACTGGGCCTCCCCAGGCACTCTGGGCAGCTCTCAACAGAACATTAAAAACACGATAAAACATCAAACATTAAAAACTTCCCTAAACAGGGCTGCCTTCAGATGTCTTCTAAAAGTCAGATAGTTGAGTCATGTTGAGTTCCTGTTAGGCTTTTCTTTCACAATGGGGGGTGCAAATATGGTGGGTGGGTAGTCAAAACGTGAGAATGAGGAAGAAGAAAAGTCACTTTCCCAAGTGCTGTTTGGTATGTGGGTTTTGTGTCCCTTTATATCATAAACCTCTTGTCATCCATCTCCCTCTGCATACTTTCACCACTAACCCATTGTCAGGCATTTCTCTGCTACTCAAAAGCTAAATGTGAATACTGCCACTCTGGGGATGTGTGCTGGGCTTTTTGGGGTGTGTGTCATTTTACTGCTTCTCTTGAAAAGAGCTATTTCAGTTACATTAGCACAGGTTTCGGGATACGGGAAAATTGCATCCGTTAACTAAAAATTATTATGACTAGATAATAATTGACGTTTCTCTTTAGGCATGTCTGAATCGGAGCAGGCTCTTAAAGGAACTTCTCAGATAAAAATTCTTTCTGCAGAAGATACAGAAGCGATGCGAATAGTGTGTAGGGTAAGTCTATTTTGGAAGATGTTATAATCCCAACAAATCTTAAGAGGGAATAGTTTTTGCATGCTTGTGTGAGTGAAAAGCACAAATAATTTGAGGTATACCCAAAAAGTTGAAATCTTACCATATGTAGACAATAATGTTGAGCATGATTTCTAGTGAGGTCCGTATCTCAAGAGTTGCCAGAATTGCATGGCTTTGTGTATAACAATTTTTTTAACTGTACACCACATTTCATTTTGTTTTGTCAAGATTTGTACGTGAAATTCTGGTTAATGAATATTTTAGCCAGCAAGATGACTTTTTAAAATTTAGACACTAATCAAATGTTTTATGCATGCTTTAATATGTTCGTTCTGCATTTGAATTAGCAGCATTTATAAAATTTCAGAAGAAGCTACTAAAGTTCAGTTAATTTGTTCTGTTTTATATAAATGGTGGTTACAAAAGCTGTGTGATTGCTAATTTTCTGTCTCCTGGGGGGAAAGACTTCATGGGGAGGAAATTGCATTTGGTATTGGTCGTCACTTCTCTTATCACAAGAACTTTTGTCCTGATTCATGGTCTGTCTCGCCCCATCTGTAGCTTACAATGAATTAGCAGTGTTCTACTGCATACTTCCTGATTGCTGCTATTTCGTTCCTCCTCCGGCCTGAGCAGAATAAACAAACCAGAAAGCCTTGCACTTCTTGTAATGTCTGAATGAGGGATCATGGTTTGCCACTTCCTAGGAAACCACAGTCTGTAAACCAACAGCAAACCATTGCTTAGGGTAGGCTAGTGACTATGGCTTAAGGAGCAGCATGGCAGATCCCTGGTTTGGGCATAACAGGATGTCAAGGCCTTCTTCATTTGTTTTTCTTGCTCACTCTAGGGGTGAAGCAAAGTGAGAGCTGTCGGCCAATGTGCAGTAATTCTTTGCTTGTTCATTGGTAACCTCTGATAAGTCGGAAACCCTGACTTGTTATATGTGAATGTGGCCTCTTGTCTTGATGATAACTTCTGCTTCTTTGTCTTGCAGCTTGCTAGAGAGGTATTAGATGTTGCTGCCATGATGGTAAAGCCAGGTGTAACTACTGAAGAAATAGACCACGCTGTTCATCTAGTAAGGATACTTCACTGAGCTTCTGGATTTTTGTTTCTGCTGTGCCTTTATAATTGGTATATTTGGTAACACGCTTCCTTGATTTTCCTGTGCAGTTACAACTATACATACTCCATCGCTCAAAGCACGATTTCCATTTCTTAAAGCAACTTGAGAATGCCAAAGGTTCTCCGGTGTCGTTTGCTTCCATATGTGTAGCCTCTGACATTCTCTAATGGGCCCAATATAGTATTGTAAAATGTCCTTCCTTGCCCACCTTCTTTCCTACCAAGTTTGCTCTGTAAACAGTAGTTGTAGGATGTGGCATTCTTCTGCCCCGTATGCCACTCTGGCATATATGCCAGGACGTTTCAAGGAGGCTGTAAGTACTAAGGTGCAACTCTACTCATCCTCCCACTGCAGTGGAAATAGTTTTTTTTTAAAATTATTAATAGAAGTTATCTCAGCAGGGTTTCAGACTTGCACATTGCTGCATTAAGCGGATGAAATAATTTTAAAGAAAAGTAAAGATTTTAAAAATATGCATAGCATTTAAATGGTGCTGTAGTTCCAGGGGCTTCAGATAAGCTTTAAAAATGTCCTTATAAGGTAAGTCTGTATTATTGTACCTGCATTGAACCTAGCTGCCTAATACCAGGTCATATTATAGCCTATGACAGCAGGTCTGGGTCTCAGACAGAGGTCTTTCGACTTCATCCTTTCTTGAAATGGAGATGTTTGGAATTGAACCTGGACCTTTGGTATGCAGAGCTTGCGCTGTGGTCCTTGCCCATGTTGCCTGGTGCTGATAACACTGAAGTTGCAGGTTCGATCCCTGTGTGGAACAGCTGTTGCCAGAGACCAGGCTGAGGAGTATTGCTCTGATGAGGAATGGTGGGAGCCTCCCCCTCCCCCTCCCCCTGCTCCTGACCAAGATCCTGAAGCTGCTCAGGAACAGTGGGGCAGTATAGATTTGGAACAGTGGTTTGCAGAGGGGCATAGTTCTGAAGACAAATTGGGAAGAACAGGGGTGGGGGGTGAACAGCAAAGTGAAGACGAACTGGAAGAGAGAGAGAACCAACAGACTCTCTCTCTCTGGAAAGTGTCCAGCCTATCAGTCCAAGGTCACGTAGAGCAGGTGTGGCTACACAAAAATCACGGTGGTTGCGAGATCAGGTTGCAAGACGGAAGTGACAGGGGGGGGGAAGTGGGTGGAAACCTTCATTGGGAGTACCTTCATTCCGAGAATGGCTGCTTTTTTTCTCTCCTGCGATCATTAAAGACTCTTTACATGGTAAGGGACTCTTTGCACTTTGTCCTGCTTATCTACGGCCAAAGGGAGGGAGGAAGCCGAGCCCCGGAGCCTGCCAGCTGCATATTTCTGCATTGCAGGGGCTTCGACTAGATGATCCTTAGGGTTCCTTCCAACGCTAGAATTTTATGATTCTATGACTTGCCTAAATCTGTCTGGAGTTTGTGGTATGGGGAACATTTGACCTGGGCACTTGCTGGTTCAGAGCTCAGTCCCTTGGCTACCTCAGTGCACCAGCTCCTGAATTCACAGCCAGGGGCAGATTATTCTCAAAAAACCATTTAGATTCCCCCCCCCCGCCCTGCGGATATGTTACATGGAAGCATGTAATGTGCATATGAGTCAGACAGCTGTTAATGTAGAGTAGAGTAGCAAGCTGTGTTTCACAGGACTGTTTGGTTAAGAAGACCCCCATGTAATCCAGAAGCTTAGCACAGCACTGAAACATTTGGTCTAGGAAAAGGTTACCAGCCCATTCCTAAATAAATTGACTTGGACATAAGTCATGCTGGTTTGGTGGATCATATTTCTCGATTGTCACACTTAGGCCCCTTGCCTTTGTCCTAACTCCTTTAGAATAATATGAATATTTCAAAATCTCTTTCAGGCTTGCATTGCCAGAAATTGCTATCCTTCCCCGCTGAATTATTATAATTTTCCTAAGTCTTGCTGCACGTCAGTAAATGAAGTGATCTGCCATGGAATCCCAGACAGGCGACGCTTACAAGAGGGTGATATTGTTAATGGTAAGAAAACCGATTAAGTAATTTTAGTATCCTTTTAAAAACTTTGTATGATGTTTGGAAAGATGCCGCTAACGAATAGGACTTATATTTGGATTCCCCCCCACCCTCCTTTGAAATACAGGTTGGTCTTACTGGTTTTTTAAAAAAATTCTAATGGCGAAACTCATTTCTCTTGCATAGGTGCATGTAAATTAAACTGTAAGCTGTGCTAGTGGGGTGTGTGTGTGTTCTCCATAAGAGATTTCTTTTGTTCTATTGTGCAGAATCAAAGCTGCAAATGAATATTCTATATGGGATGTGTGAGCTGGGCTCAGGGGCACTGATCCCTTTTGCTGCTAGTACTGCTATACATCTTGGTGAATGATAGCACAGCGACCTTAAAGTAGATAGAGGAAATTTGTGTGGTGGTGGTGGGGGAGGAATTGTAACAGTTCATTCTAAATATCTTCCCATAGTGGCAGGATATACCGTATTTTTTGCTCTATAAGACTCACTTTTTCCCTCCTAAAAAGTAAGGGGAAATGTGTGTGCGTCTTATGGAGTGAATGCAGGCTGCACAGCTATCCCAGAAGCCAGAACAGCAAGAGGGGTTGCTGCTTTCACTGCGCAGCGATCCCTCTTGCTGTTCTGGCTTCTGAGAGTCAGAATATTTTCCCCCTTGTTTTCCTCCTCCAAAAACTAGGTGCGTCTTGTGGTCTGGTGCGTCTTACAGAGCGAAAAATACGGTAATTCATTGCATTGCCTGTTGGCTCCCTACCCAAGTACTTTGGCTTTTCAAGTGATTGGTCTTTGCCTTCCTGCACCTCTTCTGAAATCATATTGGAATAAATAATGAGTTGTTCTGGAACTATTGTGGAGTGAGCTACTTGAAATTTGCCTCCTAAAATTGGACCCTGCAAAGCTGTGGGTTATAGCCAACAAAATCGTCCCATTAGCCCAAAGACTTCTGCCTGTGCAGTGGGACTTCTTCTCCATGTGTGCTCCTGTCCCTCCCAAAACTGTTTTGAGGCTTTCCCCAGTCTTCTGGAGAAGATTTTGGGGCCAGGATAGGGCTTGAAGGAGAGAGGAGGGTTTTGTGTTAATAGAACAACTTTATTGGATGTAACCCTCTGACCTCAAGCCCCATGAAGTTACCTTATACATTATGCTTGTCTCTTACATGGAGGTTCAGTTCCAAGGGTTACATATATGCATGAAAATAGCATATACCCAAGCCCTTGTAAGCCTCCCCACAGTTAGTGGGATGTGGAGAGTGAGAACTGGCACACTGAGCAGGCCTTGCCCAGCAAGCAAGGCAGAGAGCTTAAATGCTCTTTTTGTGCCGGGCAACCCAAGCAGACCTGGTGCGAAAGAGCTTTTATGCTCTCCACCTTGCTTGGGAGTCGACGTGTGCAGTTTCAACCAGCTTGCCTTCAGCCGCGTATGGTTGGAATCGTAGAAGCCAAATGCACGTAAGGTGCAGGCTTATTGTACTGAATCAGACCAGGGGTGTGTCTAGCACAGTGTCCCTTCTGACCAGCAGTGAGACGTTTTAAAACAGAAACTGTGGCCAAGTAAACTTATATCTGTCAAGTCTCATGAGAGGTCTTTCTGCACCCCTTTTTTAAAAGCTGGAGTTGATGCAGATTGACCCTGGGACATTGTGCATGTAGAGCAAACGCTCTCACAGTGAGCCTATGGCTCTGCTTTTCCACTCTTGGTTTTCATCCCCAGATCCTAGGGCTGTAAGAGGCCTAAAGCTTGTCCCGTGAAGTCCACCTGTCTCAAAGTAGAATTGTCTCCACGTTAACTCTTACAGTTTACGCACATCATAAACCAGGGCATTGCTGTCAAAAGGATTTTTTATTAGCTACAACTGGTTGTTTTTTGTCTTTAAAAATATGACATTGTTACCCATTCACTCTGACCTGTCTGGGGATGACAGAAGTCAATTTGCAGTGTAATCCTTTGCATGCCTCCTTGGAAGCACTGCATTCATGGGTGCTTACTCCTAAGAAGGTGTGCATAGCCTTAATGTTGTCAGAAAAGCTTCTTAATATAGCTTCTCATTCCCTCTGTACTTGCTGGTTTTATGGCATCTTTCCTCAATATAATCACATTTCTTTTATAATAATTTTAGGATCAGAAACATGAAATACAGGAAATGCAATGTTTTCTCTTGTTCTTTACAGTGGACATTACTGTTTATCGTAATGGTTATCATGGGGATCTCAATGAGACATTTTACGTTGGGGAAGTTGACGAGGGTGCAAAGAGGCTAGTCCAGACAACATACGAGTGCCTAATGCAATCCATTGATGCAGGTAAGGGCTGGCTGGAGCCTATGGTTTCATGTCTCATTTTTTCTTTCTTGTTTTATCTCCGACATGCGACTGATAGACTGCTAGATATTCTGGGCGCTGTGTCATTATGGAGTGTGCCTTAATCCAAGGTAATGCACTGTGCCAAATCACTGCCAAAAGCTATACCTTCAGTGCTACTGAATGGCATACAAAGATCAATCTGGAGTGATTAATTGCAATAAATTGCTTGAATACTCAGGCTTGAATCCTTTGTGGAGATTCAGCTACAAAAGAGATGGAACATCAAGTTCAGGATTTCTTTCTGGATATCTTGATAGCTGCAGTCTGTTTATCTTGTCAGACTTCTGTCCTTACAAAGGGGTGATAAATATTAAATAAACAGAAGTGTTTGAAGGCATACTCTGAAATTTATCAGCTTTAGGCACACTATAAGCTTGTTGTTTTGATTTTGTTTGTGGGGATAGTCTGCAAATACTTAGTAGGCCAGACAGTGAGCTTTGACAGTTAAACACATGCGTAGGTTGCACAGATGACTGGAGTTATTTCCCATGAAATGTTTGGCATTTGCAAAGGTTCATTTCTTTATTATTTTTAGCAGTGAAAGCTAGATTGGAAAAGATTACCAGCATAACTGTCTGAATATCAGAATTTGAATCTTGCATTTCTGAAGCATTAGATTAGAATTCCCTCCCTTAGAATACTTTTCTGCCATAAGATCTCCTTTGAGGGGTAGTGTTTTCCTGTTGCTGAATGTTCTTGTGCACACAAAGGATCATTTCTGCTGGGCAGAAATACAAATAATAACCTTTGCCTTCATCAATTAGCTGATCCTGTTTGTGTTCATTTTAGTAAAGTAACGTATGACTTACTTTGCAGTGAAACCTGGTGTTCGATATAGAGAGCTGGGAAATATTATACAGAAACATGCTCAAGCCAATGGATTTTCCGTAGTTCGGAGCTACTGCGGGCATGGGATTCATAAGCTTTTCCACACAGCTCCCAATGTGCCACATTATGCCAGTAAGTATGGGCAGTGTCTGCTGCTTCTCAGTTGATAGCAATCATTAAGAATTAACTATTCCATGCACTTCCCCAGACTAAAATAATGAATTCCCACATCCTGTGAGCTGTAGCCATAAAGAGCCTTTGGGGTAAGTTTTACAGAGATAGCAGAGGTACATACTTCACATAGTTCAATTCAGATTGGCACAAGAGCGAATAGTAGCCTCCTTCTCTAACCATCCTTGTGACAGCGATTATCAGCTTAAATACGCCTTATTATAGGTCGGAAGCAAGGCAGTAAGGCAGCCTTCTCTAACCTGGTGTTCTTCAGATGTTTTGGACTAAAACTCCCATCAACTCCAGCCAACATGGCTGTATTTGTTGGGAGTTGGAGTCAAAGATATATAGTGGGCATTAGGTTAAGGAAGGCTGAAGGAGAGTATTTGCTTTCCATGCAGGGAGCCCCAGTTTCTGTCTCTGCTATTCCCAGTAAAGGTACCCCTGACCGTTAGATCCAGTTGCGGATGACTCTGGGGTTGCGTGCTCATCTCGGTCTATAGGCCAAGGGAGCCGGCATTTGTCCGCAGACAGCTTCCGGGTCATGTGGCCAGCATGGCGAACCAAAGCACCACACGGAAATTCCGTTTACCTTCCCGCTGGAGTGGTACCTATTTATCTACGTGCTTTCGAACGGCTAGGTGGGCAGAAGCTGGGACCGAACAACGGGCGCTCACCCCGTCGTGGGCATTCAAACCGCCGACCTTCCGATCGGCAAGCCCTAGGCTCTGTGGTTTAACCCACAGCGCCACCCACGTACCTGCTATTCCCAGTACAAAGGATCTTATGAAACTGCTGCTGTTTGAAGCAGACAGAGCTGGGCTGAAGGTCTGCCTGTATGAAGCCGCTATATATTTATTGATATTATTATCATCTCTGTATATTTGAAATGGCATGCAAAGACCACCAGTTCAACAAACAAGTGAGTTGCTGCGGACTTTACTTCTTGTGGAAGGGCAGTCCACAAACAAACACCACCAGTGAGAAAGGACTCTCCCGAGTTGCCACCCACCTGCTTTTTTACCTAGCTGGGGCACCCAGAGAAAGACTTCTAATGCGTATTGACATACATTACATGTCCTCTGTGAGACTGACTTCACAATATTGCCTCCACAATTTGGTCTGTGCTCCTGTATAGACCACACATGTATCGCCTCAAATATAGCTAGAGCCTTGGTCTCAGGAATAATGCAGAATCGTGAGCTGTTTAGCTAAACTGTGGATCATTTTAACATCTGAACCTGAGCCTGCTTCGAAACCATGGTTTCTTTTGGATTTACCAACCAGGATCTGAAACCACCGTTGTGCGGCTGATTTGCAAACCATAGTTTGTGCTAACTGGGACTGGTTGTATTCTGAATTGACAAATGACTTTGGGCCCATTACTTCACCTAAAGAGGCTGCTGCTCCATGGAAATGGGGCAGGAGTGAACTTAAGCTGAGTGTTGAGCAGATGGGAAACCAAAACAGTCAAGCGATGGTTTGCATGTTGTAAATCAGAACTCAAAAAACCATAGTTAGACCTTTCAACACTATGGTTGGCACAAACCACAATTTTGTGTTGCATCCCACTCCAGAGGTAGAAACAAAATTACCGTATTTTTCGCACTATAGGACGCACCGGTCCATAGGACGCACCTAGATTTGGGAGGGGGGGAATAAAGGGGGAAAATTTATTCCTCCCCCCCGCCAGGCGTGGGGCTGGGGCGGGGGAAGCCCGAGCTTCCCCCTCCCCCAGAACGGGACCCAGAGCCATGCCGAAGCTGCGCGCAGCTTTGGCATCGCTCTGGGAGCTTGCAGGGCTGGGGGAGGAGGAAGCCTCTCCCGCTGTCCCCCGAGTTTGCGGGGCTGGCGACGGGGAGGAGCAGGCTTCTCCCCCCGCCAGCCTTCTAGCCAAGTCGGGGGACAGTGGGATGGCGCGCTACACCTCTCCCGCTGTCCCCCGAGTTTGTGGGGCTGGCGACGGGGAGGAGCAGGCTTCTCCCCCCCCGCCAGCCTTCTAGCCAAGTCGGGGGACAGCGGGATGGCGGCGTTACGCCTCCCTGCTGTCCCCCAAGTTTGTGGGGCTGGCGGTGGGGCTCTCCTGAAGCCTGGAGAGCGAGAGGGGTCGGTGCGCACCGACCCCTCTCGCTCTCCAGGCTTCAGCGAAAGCCTGCATTCGCCCCATAGGACGCACACACATTTCCCCTTCATTTTTGGAGGGGAAAAAGTGCGTCCTATAGTGCGAAAAATACGGTACCACCATTTAAGTTCCCATTGCATTTTATCTTGTATCTCTTACCTTCTGTGAGCTCTTACACTCTCTTGTTCCCTTTTCAGAAAATAAGGCTGTTGGTGTAATGAAGCCTGGCCATGCGTTTACAATAGAACCAATGATCTGTGAAGGTAATTATGCAGCTGTGGATCTAATTCTGATTGCAGCCATTTTTCTGAATGACTTTTCTTGGTCTCTACTCAGGAAACACCTACAGGGTTAATGCTTCTCAATGCTTTGTGGCTCACCTATAACTTTACTACAACAGCAATTTCCTACTGAGCATTACTAAATAATGTCTTTGCAGCATGTACTGTATTCCTGGCATTACAACTTGTTCATGTGGGCACAAAGGATTATATCACCCGTAAAGTCATCTAAGTGAAATGTTACCAGTTCTTAACAAGGTCATATGAACAGTCAAATTCTTCCAAAAACATTCCAGGTCCAATTAGACACCAGAAAAGAGCCGCACTGTTAAGCATCATATTTCTTAAAAGACTTTACTTCAAGAGATTCTGAGGTGGTCTTTGGTTTTCTCAACCTTTTACCTAGTCTCTACCTTTTTGTGTAACAATCACATTTCAGAGCATTTTCAGCCATTGTTAACAGATTTGGCAAGGTAGATTCTCTATCCGCCAACCATTTTGCACAATACAGACCTTAGTTAAATTAAGGAGATAGTTTGTGCTGTATTATTGATTCTTTTATTGGCCATTCTTTTTATACTGGAATCACTTTGATATGCCTCTTAGAAAGTGGTTCATAAAATAAATAAAGAATAGACGAATGAATGGAAGCAATATGCTGGGATAGTATATTATGAGTGTCAGCAGGATGCCCTAGCCAACAACAAAAATGGAAGTGAATAGAGGAGGCACAGGAAGAAAAGACACAGGCATCAAGGCTATTTGTACAAAAGTAAAAACAACAACACCAAAACCTGAAACTGCTGATCAAAGACTCCTTTAAATAATGTATGACGTTCTCCCCCCCCCCTTTAAACAAGTTCTAAATTTTTGCATTCTTCTCATTAGGTGGGTGGCAAGATGAGACCTGGCCTGATGGCTGGACTGCTGTGACGCGAGACGGGAAGCGTTCTGCCCAGTTTGAACACACACTTCTGGTCACAGATACTGGATGTGACATCCTAACCCGCCGGCTGGATAGCATTCGCCCTCACTTCATGACTCAGTGCTAGTGTAGACCAAGCTGGGAGGCCTGAACCCAAGCATCTCTTCTGCTGTGTACTATGTGTTTCACTAAGAGTACAGGCTAAAAGGGGGGGAATTTATCACCTGTTTTTCTTCTTCTTGACTGTAGGTAGGAGATGCAGCCTTGCATTGAGATGTTAATGCCGTAGGCTTGAAAAGCAAAGAGGTTTTAGAGCCTCAGTCTCTGCTCTCCTGCCACCCCAACATTGTTTGAACTTGTCTTTTTTCTTCTTCAAATCATTGTCCTTATGGTACCTCATTTCACCCCCTTAGCCGGGCTTCTGTCACTGCCGCCATTCTCAGTAGCCCCACACAGCTTCTTTTCGTGGTGGATGCAAGGATTCAGAAACAAGCCTTTCTGTTTTTACAACACCTGAGAGTTTAAACTTTTTCTTGTTCCAAAGACAACCCTTCCTTAGCTGTTTAAATGGACTGGGCTTTCATCTGCGTATAATTCAGAGGTGGAATTTTCTACTTGAAAATGTTGAATCAGAATTTTGTTCTGTCTACCCCTCTTCCACCCTGTTGTTACTGTATATGGAAGTATAATATCTGCCTGTTAATTGATGGGCCTGTTTCTCTTTGGCTGGCAATTGCTACAGGTAGTTCTCTGTCTAAGGGGGCTGGGGAGGGACAAAATTACTGAAATGCTGCCCTGCGCAGGTTTTTTTTTTTACCAAAACACAGCCTCAAGACGGGTAGTGCTTGGCAGCCAATGATGTTCCAAGGTTCGCTTTGAAGCAGCTAGTTTTTAATTTTAGATAAGGAATGCGATTGAAATGGGGAAGAGTTTCTGTTCTCCTGCGTGCATTCTAAAAAAGGGCATGTCCCAGAAGTCCAAGACCAATCTCTTTAACAGCTTCTTTCTAATCTGCAGTTAATTTATGTGCATGTAACCATGGCCAAGTGGTTGCCTGCCATGCAGACCACTTGGTGCATGGTTTCAGTTAATGTTACAGAAATCGTGACATGCTACTTTGCAGGAGCTGGATCAATGGCTCTGTGTTTGGATTGCTACTTCTGTTCTGGATACTCCCATTCTGGGATGGCCAAAAAACCACCTCACTGGATTGAAGGAGAGATATTTCACCAAGTAGTCATAAGGATTGGTCTATATCAAGTGTTCGACTTTGCCCCCCCCCCCCCCCCGTGCTATCGGACTACAACTCACATCATTCTCTAAATAATAACAATAGTAATAATAATTCCCAACCACTTTAGCCAATGGGGAGGGATGATGGGGATCCAAGACTGAACACGGTGTCTACAGAATAGAGAAAAAGTTGCTGATCCTGTTTTTATATTGCAGTCTGACCACCTTTTCATGGCTCTTTGTGGAAATTGTGCGATACTCCAGTTAGCCACTGCAATTGTTTCACCAAAGCAAATTGTTCTAAGCAAAGATAATGCACTCGAAAGAAGCAAAAATTGGACAGCCCTTGAAATTGCTTGTGTTCTTAGGCCAGGTACAGTACGGGCAATTCTGGCATAATTTATCCTCCCACTTTTTACAGCGGTAACTTTGTAATACAGATCTGGGAGATACTACTACTGTTGTTGGGGAAGATTTGTTTCATTGGGCTTAGGCAGTTGCTGCTGAGGCTTCCATTCCACAGAGAAAGGTGGTTTTTCAACCACATTTTCTTGCCTAGTGCCCGCTCTAACCTTACAATGTTGGGAGTTCAGTAAACTAGTGGAGAGAAATCAGGTCATAAAATCATGGGCACAACATGCCACATTTCTACTCTGGTGTCGGACATCTTGTGAGAAGAATTGCAAGGAGTTCTAAAAGCCCTCAGCATCTTACCCATGTCAACAGCACGTAACTCCAGTTCTTTAGACAGCTTAGGGCGGTTGTGACTAAACTCAACAAGAAATTGAAAGAAATCTTTCCCAGAGTGCCTCAGTTTTTTTTTTCTTCCTGAAAGTGTATTGTTGGGACAATGTTTTTCATTCTGTAATGTGTTTAAGAGGCGGTAAAGTGACTCAGAAATGTTACAAGCACTTTCGTGCATGTGCAGAGATTTTAACAAAACAGGCTGCAATATATCTTGAGTGGAGTTAACCAATGTATGCAATACATTTAAGGAGATTAAAAGTCTGGATGGTTGACCCTGGAGTCTATTTTGCCAGTTACTTTTAAGCAGTATAACCTACTTCTCCCTTTTAATCTTCTCTATGATTAAAGGATTGACTTCAGCTCATGGAATTAAACCTAGAGATTCTTCAGGGAAACAGTGATGATGAAATAGGGCATGTTCAGCCCTGGGCCCAACTGATCCTACTACATGTGCTTTTTAATGCACATTTTCAATCTGCAAACAAAGTGGAATCAGTCATTTATAGTGTTCTTTCCTGAATGGTAAGACAAGCTGGCTCACCCCCGCCCTGCAGTAAGGCAAGCTGCCTCCTCCCACATGAATTGCAAGCAGCTCCATAATGGTGAGAAAATCAACTGGGCAGGGGAGAGGAATGTTCTACATTTTAATCTTGCAGAGCATACCAACTTTTTGCATATGTAAAATCTTCCGTCTGGTACAGATGAAGCTCTCTGAATAGCCCCGCTCTACCTTTTTAAATATACAAAATCTTAGCTAGAAGTCTGGCAAGTACCGTATTTTTTGCACCATAACACTCACTTTTTTCCTCCTAAAAAGTAAGGGGAAATGTCTGTGCGTGTTATGGAGGGAATGCCTACGGGTGGCATGCCTACGGATTTTCCTCCTCTAAAAACTACGTGCGTGTTATGGTTTGGTGCGTGTTATAGAGCGAAAAATATGGTAATTGCTGAATTGGGGTTTGGCTAGCAAAACAACCCATGAAGGTGAAGGCAGGAATTTTGTGTGTGTGGTTTTTTTCAGCTCACGCAGGCCTAAATCATAGTTCTACAGAATAACGTAATGAAGGACTATATGGCAAATGGTGCTATGCAACTAGGATTTATTCAGAGTAGAGCCACTGAAATTAATGAACATCACTTGGGTCTCTTAAATTTCAGTAGATTAATTTGCACATGTAGATTAATGTACCACCCTCGCAAAAAAAAGGGGGGGGGGAATAGGATGAGATGCAAGTAGAACAGTCTTTTTTCAAAGCCTAAAAGAAGTTAGCAGGAGTTACTGCATTTGGGGGTGGTGGTGTCTTAAACCCTCCCCATATATTGTGCTAGTATTAGTCCAATAAATGGGAAGCTTGGCCTTTTTAAAGAGGGCGCTGCTAGACTTGCCTGCCTTCACTTTGCTATGCTCAGGGACGAACCTGTTTTGGATACTGGACTCTGAAAAATGGGGGACTTCTTGCAGCAGGGCCTTTCCCAGATGTTTTTGATGAGACAGAGTACACAGTTGTAGCCTAGATCAGAGTCCATTTCCCCTGTCAATATTCAATCCTTTTACACTGAAGTTCTCAAATTGCAGTGGATGATGTCATAGCAACTGCTTTACGAGAAGCCAGATTTGAAATCGAAACCATCAACTTACCCCTATTATGAGAGTTGTAGCCACTCTGGTTCAGGTGCTATTTCAATATGACATTATAGCTGCATTTTTTTAAAAAAAATGTAAGCTAGTGGAGCAAAGGGGAGACTGCGCTCTGGAGCTCCTGCCACCTGCTGTTTCGGGGAGGGCGTGCACCTGGCCCCCTGCATAACCCATGTGGTCCCAAGTTTGAAAGCATCTTAGCCACAGACCTGCAAACACTAGCTTTTGTAAGCTGGCAAAAGCTCATCTGTTTCATCTAAAACAAAACCCTTGACATGTCCTGACCTGCAACAAGAGAGCTATTTATTTATTTTTTTGTAGCATGCCTTTCCCGCTCTCCACTGATTCAGTCCAGGTGAGAACTGACACCCTCCAAACTTGCATGCCATAACCCGGATTTATTTAAGAAAAGGGGACAACGCAGCTGTATGCCTATGTAGGAAAAAGGTTTTAATCATGATTCTTCTACTCGGGTTAATACCTCCCAATTGCAGGATATTTTAGAACAAAAAGACACCGATTGTACTTGAGTTCAGTCTAACAGCAGTCAATAAACTGTTTAACTGCAGAGATTTCTGGCACTTAGTGGTACAGTAAGACATGAACAGATATTAGCTGTGTCTAAGATCAGTGTTTTCACATTGTCAAGAGCAGGTGATGCTTCTAACTAGAACAGCTTTTCCTAAATCATTTTTGACCAACGCATCCTGAATTACTGTTGCACTGAGTTGAACTGCGGTGGAAGGTTTCTTCAGGCTTCTTGAAACTTAAGGACACTTCGGATGCTGCAAGAGTGAAAGCAAAGAGCTGAGATCATGAATTTGATTTGTACTGTCAAACTTGGTTTGAGCTTATTTTAAGAAAACTGGCATGGTATCATGCAGCCTTCTGCAACATGGTGCCACCATTGGTCACACTGATCCTATGGGCAAGGCTTCGAGTAGGAAAGACGCTATTCACTCCTGATGATCATGGGGGCACTGGGGCAACCACTACAACAAAACATCACAGGGTTGTTTTGAGGAAAAGTAGACTGCTATATGTTGGCAGGATAAAGGGAGAGAGAAACTTGCCAAGGAAAAAGAGAGAATTTTTTCTCAATGGTTGCTTTTACAATAAATATGCACCCTCCTGTCCCAAAGCATACAATTTAGGTAACTGAAAGGTAACTTCTGAGTAGACATATATGGGACTGTGCTGTCAGTGATGTTGTCATTCTAAAATCTGCCCCAGCACACAATATATAAAAAGTAAACTTGTTGACAAACAGCAGGCAGTACCTACCTCTTTCCAGCATGCATGAGTTCAAAAGCCTCATTGATTTTGTTAAACGGTAAAGTGTGAGTCACAAATTCATCCACTTTTATCTTTTTGGACATGTATTCTGCTACCAGCTTCGGAACACTCTCTACACTCTTCCAACCTGTTAGAAAATGAAATAATTGTGTACCGAATGTGATGTGACACAGGAAGATGGATGAAGGAGCATTACAAAAGTAGTATCTGTGTCAGACAAGGAAATCTTAATGATGCAAGCCTGAAAGAAAACTCTCTTTTCTCTCTCTAAGCTAGAAAGGGAGAGTTGTCTCTTGGCTATCCTTGGCATGCTATATTACTGCATTTGTAATGTGGCTGCAGCAGCAGTAAGAAACCTGGAGCCTTCCAGATGTTGCTGGCATGGCCAATGGTCAAGAAAGACTGGAGTTGCAGCACAGCAAAATCTGGAAGACCACAGGTTCAGCACCCTATGGTGCAGCCTTGGGGTTGTCTGTGCACAATACTGAACTGACTATCTGAAAGTTGCAGGGCAGTAATAAGCAACTTGCATTAAAATCGCAGTAGACAGAGCAATGCTCTCATGTAAGAGCCGGATGTTCAGCTTTCAAGGCAAAGTTTGCAAACCAGAACACCTACTTCCAGGTTTGCACGAGTTCCAAGTTGTTCGTGAACTAAGCTCTTCGAAAACCAAGGTACAACTGTATGTATAACTTAAAGATACCCTTTACTAATGCAGGTAATCATCCAGAAGATACTTAGGAACGTATTAAGAAAAATTGTGGAATCTCCTCTAGGCTTTTTCTAAGTAAAAAGTCTACATGGGCAAGTGCAATGTATGCTTTTAGAAACGGGATATCCTGTTTTGGATTGGAGTATAAGACGTCTCTTGCAATTTTGATGTCCTCTCTTAATGTCCTGATGTATACATGGACGGGTTATGCCACAAGTTTGCTAGCCTTTTAAGGTTCATGGGATTCATTAACAGTTGTCCCATTTCCTGTGCAGAAAAGCACACATGCACAAGAACATACTGTGACTGCCCTATGTAAGACAAGTTCATCAGCACCCCAGCAAAGTTATACCTCCAAAGGCAGTCCCTTTCCATGTTCTTCCAGTGACTAGCTGGAATGGACGGGTGGCAATTTCTTGACCGGAAGCAGCAACACCAACTATGACACTCACTCCCCAACCTTTGTGGCATGCTTCCAAGGCTGCTCTCTGTGGGATGTGAAAGAAAGGAGGAGCAAGTGATACAAACAAAAGAAGTGGATGGGTGGAAGAGAAGCATAGTTCAGTAGCAGAGCACATGCAGACAATCCCAGGTTCAATCCTAGCATCTTCAGGTAGCAGGAGATGGAAAGAGCTGCTGCCAAGATAAACAATGCAGAGCTTGATGGACCAGTGGTCTGACTTGGGATAAGGCAACTTCTGGGTGACGCTGTGGGTTAAACCACAGAGCCTAGGACTTGCCGATCAGAAGGTCGGCGGTTCGAATCCCCGCAACGGGGTGAGCTCCTGTTGCTCGGTCCCAGCTCCTGCCAACCTAGTAGTTCGAAAGCATGTCAAAGTGCAAGTAGATAAATAGGTACCGCTCTGGCGGGAAGGTAAACGGTGTTTCCGTGCGCTGCTCTGGTTCGCCAGAAGCGGCTTAAGTCATGCTGGCCACATGATCCGGAAGCTGTACGCCGGCTCCCTCGGCCAATAAAGTGAGATGAGCGCCACAACCCGAGTCGCCCACAACTGGACCTAATGGTCAGGGGTCCCTTTACCTTTAATGTTCCTAGAGAGATGCTCCAGGAAACAGTATATTTAGAAGGAATGATTGGTAGGCTGCTCAAGAGATCACCAGTTGCAAATATTTAGAGATGCAAATCCAGAACTGGCTATGGATATTGGCTATGGCATCTAAATGCAACCTTCACGGCTGCAGACCAGCACAGAGTACTGGCAGAGGCTTCACCAGACATTTCCGATGACTTTCATTATGCCCTGGCTCCCATCCATGCCCCCCCCGCCACATTCCAGGCTCCGCTCACCCTAGGGTGCTACCTATGGGACAGACACACTTACCATGACACCAACGTTACCGATGCACTCAAATGAGTAATCTACTCCTCCATCCGTCAACTCCACCAGGACCTCCTGAATGGGCTTCTCGAAGTCCTTGGGACTGATGCACTCTGTGGCCCCAAATTCCTTGGCTTTTGCAAATTTGTCCTTGTTGAGGTCAATCCCGATGATCCGGGATGCACCTGCCACCTTGCAGCCCATGATTACTGCTAGCCCAACTCCACCCAAGCCAAAGACAGCACAAGTAGAGCCAGGCTCCACCTGAAAGAAAGAACATTCACTTGAAGGAGAACAGTTCTTAACATCGAAAAAATAACAGCTCTGTCTGCTGCAATAAACCAGCCTCTGGCAAATGGCTCGTTGAGCTGAGTTAAGTCTGCTCTTAGAATTAACAGCCATCCTACTTTGAACTAGTAACACAAGCTAAAATCATTGCTTGCTGTCGCTGCCCATCTCAGATAAGGAAGACACATGTCAGATAGTTAACTCTTTATTGGCTAGAGAAATACAGCAGCTTCCCCAGAGCTCTGGATACACATTCTCACACACTTGTAGCCTCTAAGCAGCAGTCCACAGGTCTGAGCCCTATGGAGCAGCTGCAGCAACAGTGGGGCCTCTCCTCCAGCTTATATACCCTCCTCTTGACGGATTGCATACCCACAATCTGAGACTTCTTCTGCATGGAAGTCACTGCTGCTCTTCCCTTTTCAAGCCCCTCCTGGTTCTAGGGGACGGCAGGGTGGGAGAAGGTGGGGAGAAGGTACTGACCTGTCCTTCATCTGAGCTGTACCTTCTTCCCACACGCCTGCCTTCGCCTTGAGCTGCCCCGACTCCCCCTAGCTCCTGCCTTGTGGACTGTGCCAAACCCCATAAATCACTGGTCCACTCTCCTGGGTCACTCCCCAGCCCCCTGCCCTGCCTCTGCCACACACTCTTCAGAGCCCTGCCAGTCCATGACACTGGCTCTTCTAACTCACTGGTTGGATCTCCAGCCCCACGGGCTTAATTAGGCATGCAAGGTCTTTTTCGTCAATCCATACTTAATGCCAGGTCGGTGGGTTTGAGCCCCACATTGGGCAAAAGGTACCTGTTGGACTAGGTGACTCTCATGGTCCTTTCCAACTTTACAATTGTATGATTCTATACCCACCAGCTGTCAGATGTGGGGTAAGTAAAGACGTCAGAGGGCCAAAAGGGGGCATGCTGACACAGCCAATTAACTGCCCTGTGCACAGTGCTTTGCAAGCCCTGGTGGTCAGCTGATCAGACCCAACTCACAATTGCAAGCAAATGTTACTAACAGTGGTCTCTGCCAAACTGGTGCAAGTGAGCAGATGAGGGCTAAAACCCTTTTCCTCCCCAATGAAGTCTCCCAAGGGGGCGGGGGGGGGGGAATTAGGTTTCAGGGAAGGTTCTGCCACTTAATTTGTTTTATGAGCTGTTTGCACTGCAAGGAGTGGCAGAAGCAGCAATGGCATGGAGGTGAAAGGCAGTTCATCAGCACCCCAGCAAAGTTATACTGTCCTCCAAAGGTTTAACTTAACTCCTGTTTAAACAAGCTGTGCTTCTAACTTTCAGGACAGGGATGTGGAGCCACAGCTCGGGTATGGGGGGGGGCGGGAGGGCTGTAACTTCCTGTACTATATTTTCTCTGTTGTGTGTGGATTATATGGCTGGGAGTGGCGGCCGAGACCATATAACACAGGTCCTGAAAGATCTTCATAGGCTCCCAGTACGTTTCCGAGCACAATTCAAAGTGTTGGTACTGACCTTTAAAGCCCTAAACAGCCTCGGTCCAGTATACCTGAAGGAGCGTCTTCACCCCCATCACCCAGCCCGGACACTGAGGTCCAGCGCTGAGGGCCTTCTGGCGGTTTGCTTGCTGCGAGAAGTGAGGTTACAGGGAACCAGGCAGAGGGCCTTCTCGGTAGTGGCACCCGCCCTGTGGAATGCCCTCCCAGGAAATGTCAAGGCAATAAACAACTATTTTACTTTTAAAAGACAACTGAAGGTGGCCCTGTTTAGGGAAGTTTTTAATGTCTGATGCTGTATTGTTTTTGATATTCAGTTGGAAGCTGCCCAGAGTGGCTGGGGAAACCCAGCCAGATGGGCAGGGTATAAATAATAAATTATTATTATTATTATTATTATTATTATTATTATTATTATTATAATATAACGCTACTCTGTGCTCAAGAGTCAGAAAAAAATCAACAGGAAGTCAGGGACCCCAACCTTTGCAGTGTTCAAGGCTGCTCCATAGCCTGTAGAAACCCCACATCCCAGCAAGCAGACTTTGTCCAAGGGAGCAGAAGCATCTATTTTCGCCAGAGAAATGTCTGCAACAACGGTGTACTCCGAGAAAGTGCTTGTCCCCATGAAGTGGAGAACCTGTTTTCCTTTACATGTGAACCTACTGGTACCATCGGGCATCACTCCTTTTCCTTGGGTGACTCTGCAGAATAAAATCAGAACAGACGTGTTGTTTAGAGAGCACGTATGGTCACACCAAAAAGCAACAGGCCCATCAGGAAAAAAAATCGTATTGGGGCCATACCTTTATTAAGCCAACCAGAATATAGTTACACTTTAGGGTGCTTTGTAAGACTTGACGACCAGCTGATCGCTGCTGCTTTATGGTGCCTGCAGACTCTCTTGGCTAAGCCAGGTCTTTCCAATGCCACATGTAGCATCACATGTGAAGTAGGTGGGTGTGGTTTGGCCAAAATGGCCTTGCAGACCAAATGGGGAGATCTGCCACACCTTATTAGGTTTCTGCCTATGTGCCAGAGAAGTTGAGAAAGGGATACAGATGGGGAAGGGGGAAGCAGGGGAGAAGAGGACCAACCTTATTTTCTGGCAGAGATTGGTTTTAGGGTTTAAACAAAACTTGCATTCTCCACATTGTGGGATGTACAAAGGGATTACTGTGTCTCCTGGAAAATACAAAGAGTTGGTTTTTTATTTTTTTTAAAAAATGTTTCCAATACTGTTAACTGATAAAAAGCACACTGTGTTAAAACTAGATGTTCCGTTAGAGCATGACATACTAATACTTTTATACAAGTGGCATGTTTTGTACTCCCAAATTGTTCCAAGGCAACTTCAGATGCAAAGCAATGGAAATATTTCTGCTGAAGGGCTGGCCGAACTACGATGAGCATTAGGGTCCTTGCATCTTAAGCAGAATCCCCTTACCTGGTTTGAATTTGGTCACTCCTTCCCCAACACTCTCCACAATCCCTGCTCCTTCATGGCCCAGGATAACAGGAAAACTCCCTTCAGGGTCAGCACCGCTTAGAGTATAGGCATCCGTGTGACAAACAGCAGTGGCAACGATCTACAAAGTCATGAAGAACAATCAGATTCAGCAGGTTATTTGATAGGCATTGTGTTTTTAGGGCACTGGAGCTGTAGGGCAGCTGAGGGAGAGGCGGCAGGCAGACTGCAGGAAAGCACTGCGTTGCCCGAAATAGCAGCGTGGGTCTTGTGTCGAACTGCGTGGAAGCTCCCTGCCCCCAGGGTGTCCACGCGGCTAGCTATGCCTCTGGGTCAAATATCCTAGTCCCTAATGGTTTAGGGCAAGCAATGTAGCAACTATTTCATTACCTTGATACGAACTTCATGAGCTTTAGGTGGTCCAACTTCCACCTCCTCAATGGACAGTGGTTTACCCGCTTCCCAGGCAACAGCTGCCTTGCATTTGATAACCTAAATAAGAAATAGAAAGAGTGCCCTATGACATTGCACAGCAAGCTTGTATAATGAGCTTCCTTCCTTAGAGACTGAAGTCACACACTACAGACGCTTTGGAGATGACACCCTGTCGGAACTGGTGGAGCTCAAACTGGACCTTTGCTGGTTAACAGATTGTCAAACAGCTCTGAGAGCTGCTTGTGTAGCAGGTGTAGGTGATGGTGGGGGCACCCTATTTGTTTACTTGCATCATTTACAGGCTGCCCCATGGCTAAAAAAGTTATCTCAGTGGCTCACATGAAAATAAAATCAGTTTAAAAATGCGAGTGCAAAAGCTACAGTCTATGAAAGGCCAAACAATTCTAGCATCTGTAGAACCTGAGAGATGCAGCAAAATATACAGGCACAGTTCCTCTCATTTCCATGAAGCAATAGGCCGTCCATGTTTTACCTTGTTTCACTCGCCCATCTCAGGGAAAATTCCTGCAAATACCCAGGCAAACAGGAGCGATGAAAAGGTCTACCTCCTCAATATGTTTGAACAATAAGTGAAAACTACATCAAGTTACTAACCCGAGAGAAATCAATTCCATGTAACTTTGTGATTATTGAACGTAATCCTGTTTGCTACAAATGGAAGTGGCTGGTACATTTTATCACCTACAGCAGATGGCAACTACATACTGGGCAAATATTATGAGGCAACCTATTGGTTTTTCTTAATATAATTTATATAATGCAATTCAATTCTTAGCATTTGTTACTAAAAATGTAAAGCTAAAACTGATAATGGTTCCTATTATTTAGCGTGCCCAAATCCTCTATGCAAAATAGGGACAGATAAACAAAACTTCCAGTGTCACTGAAAAGAAATGCATGCTATTTGACCCGTGCTGCATGGCTGCAATGTCCTAATTGACCAATTAAGAAAGCAAGAAGAGAAAATGAACTTGTTATACAACTTGCTCATTCCTTCAGTGACAACCTCTTATTAAGCACAAACACTACTGCCATGGATGTTTTAACTTGTATTTATTGTATATCCATGTTGTACACTTTTGTAATAGAAAAAGTAAGTAAAAACTGTAGCTGTAGTGTTCCTGCTTAAAATAAGGTTAATGTGTGTGTATGCCAAGGGACCAGTCACAGAAAATTTAACCAGCCCTAAAACTGGTTAGTTTCTCACAGAGCAAAGTTCACAAAGATCATATGCCAAGTAAAATATTTACATTCTTCAATTTCCCCTTCAGTTAGGGAATTTCAAGTTTAAGAGTGAAATATGGAAAAGGTATTAGTAAATGATTTACATATTCTGCATAAAAGGGTTTTGGAAATAACAGTCAAAATGAAGTTTTTATAGGAGGTACTAGTTAGAATCTGGTGCAGTATATTATATGACATGTGTAGCGTAAGAGCAACGCAAACACTAGTTTTATAACTTATGTAGGCTAAAGGAATCCGGACGATAGCATGGGCCGCCGCCGGAGCCCTAGCGGTTAATCTGTGCCAGTCGCTTTCCCCTGCGTTTTTGTCCCATCTTGACGAATTTCCCTGGGGCGCAACTCTGCATGTTTACCCCCGAGAGCAAGGGCCGCTGACTTAAGTGGAGCTTACTTCCGAGTAGAGCGCGCACTGGGGCGCGACCTCCAAGCTAGTGCCTTTCTGCCGGCGCCTCGTCGGAAGTAACGAAAACGCAAGGGGCGCCCGGGAGCCTAGCTACGCCTCTGCTCGCCCGTTGCAAAAGGCTCTCCCCCCCAGACCCCTAAATTGACCCCGACTCGGAAGCTTTCCAAGTTCAGACGTGGGCTTGCAATCCTGCGCGCTTCCCTGGGAGGAAGCACGCTCGGCCTGCAAGGGAAAGAGCAGCGGCGCGCTCTTTCGCCGTGCCGCGTCGCCTCCCGTTTCCTTTGCACCCGCAGCAGGGGAAAGGCGCCCGCGCTGCTTGCCCGGGGAATGTTCGACGACGGCTCCAACTTACCCCGCTCGCCATCAGCGCCGCTGCTCCGCCGCCTGCAAGTGCCCCTTTCTCGCCGTCCGCGAAGCAGCTGCCGAGCGACTTGGGGGCATGCGCGCTCCTTCGAGAGCCGCCCTCCAAGCAGGGGCGGGCCGAGGAAATAGGGCGCTGCTCCCTCGTCTCGCTCGTCTTCTTAGGGAGAATTGCAGTGCCCTCTGTCGAAGGATGCTCGTTCAGGATGAATTCCGCTTCAGGAGGCTGTGATTGCAAGCGCAGCTACTTAGGAGGCGGGGGAAGTCCTGCAGAAATCTGTGGGGCTCGAGCAAACGTTTAGGAAGAATCACAGAAAGGGTAGAGTTGGAAGGGACCACAAAGGTGAAAGGATGGCCACAAGGATCATCTAGTCCCAACTCCTCTGCAATACAGGAATCTTTTCCCCAACGCAGAACTTGAACCCACAACCCTGAGGTGAAGAGTCTCGTGCTCTCTACCGACTTGAGCTATCGGGCTGCAAGGTTATTGTCGTTTTGTGGTTATGAATATCTAGGCCTCGGCTTTTCATTTTGGTATTTTCCCTCACAACTCTTTTTTCCATTTGGCTCCTCAACCGACACATCCATGACAGGATTTTGAAAATGGCTAAACTGTCCAGACAGTCAGAAGTACAACCAGAGCAGCTTGGAGATTCAGAGGCAGATTTGTCCCCCAGTAGCTGGACTAGGCCATGGAAGTACAGTGGTACCTCGGGTTACATACGCTTCAGGTTACATACACTTCAGGTTACACACTCCACTAACCCAGAAATAGTGCTTCAGGTTAAGAACTTTGGTTCAGGATGAGAACAGAAATCGTGCTCCGGCAGCACAGCGGCAGCAGGAGGCCCCATTAGCTAAAGTGGTGCTTCAGGTTAAGAACAGTTTCATTTTTATTTATTTATTTATTTTTAAAAATAATATTTATTACTTTTGCAACAATTTAAACACTACAAAAAAACAAACAATACAATACAATACAAAAACACTACATAACACTAACACATTAAACTAACAAAACAAAACAAAAACCATTTAAAACACATCAAACAATTTCAATATCTTATCTTTCATTCACTTATTTCAACGACCTCCTCACACCTCCCTTTTTGTATTCCACTTCTGTTAATTGTTTCAGCAATTCCTTTCCATCTTCCTCTGTTTTCTATCCTATAATTATTTTAACACATTCTAACCTTATTTTTTTCTTTAATACTCTATTAATCTATTTATACTTAATTCCTTATAACATTTCTACTAAAGCCATATAACTTCATTCCAACATTTTTCTAACATTCATTAATTTTACAGTATTTCTGTAAATAGTCTTTAAACTTTTCTGTAAGTACTCTTTAAATTTCTTCCAATCTTCTTCCACCGACTCTTCTCCCTGGTCTCGGATTCTGCCAGTCATTTCCGCCAGTTCCATGTAGTCCATCACCTTCATCTGCCATTCTTCCCGGGTGGGTAAATCTTGTGTCTTCCAATACTTCACGATAAGTATTCTTGCTGCTGTTGTTGCATACATAAAAAAAGTTCTATCCTTCTTTGGCACCATTTGGCCGACCATGCCCAGGAGAAAGGCCTCTGGTTTCTTCAGGAAGGTATATTTGAATATCTTTTTCATTTCGTTATAAACCATCTCCCAGAATGTCTTAATCCTTGGGCATGTCCACCAAAGGTGAAAGAATGTACCCTCAGTCTCATTACATTTCCAACATTTATTGTCGGGCAAATGGTAAATTTTTGCAAGCCTGACTGGTGTCATGTACCACCTATAAATCATTTTCATTAAATTTTCTCTTAGGGCATTACATGCCGTGAATTTCATACCTGTGGTCCATAACTGTTCCCAGTCAGCCATCATTATGTTATGTCCAACATCTTGTGCCCATTTAATCATAGCTGATTTCACCATTTCATCCTGAGTGTTCCATTTCAACAGCAAGTTATACATTCTTGACAAATTCTTGATTTTTGGATCTAACAATTCTGTTTCCAATTTTGATTTTTCCACCTGGAAACCAACTTTTTTGTCCAAATTGTATGCCTCCATTATTTGGTAATAATGGAACCAATCTCACACTTTGTTTTTCAATTTTTGAAAACTGCAATTTTATTCTGTCTCCATCTTGTTCCAGAATTTCCCAATATTTCGGCCATTTGGCCTCCATATTGAGTTTTTTCTGTGCCTTCGCTTCCATTGGTGACAACCATCTTGGGGTTTTATTTTCTAACAAATCCTTATATCTTATCCAAACATTAAACAATGCTTTTCTAACAATATGATTTTTAAACGCTTTGTGTGCTTTTACCTTATCGTACCACAAATATGCATGCCAGCCAAATGCATTGTTGAAACCTTCTAAATCCAACACGTCAGGGTTTTCAAGAAGCAGCCATTCTCTCAGCCAGCAAAAAGCAGCTGATTCATAATAAAGTTTAAGGTCTGGCAGGGCAAATCCACCTCTTTCTTTGGCATCAGTTAATATATTAAATTTTATTCGAGGCTTCTTTTTTTTTAATATATTTTTATTAAGGTTTTTTCAATACAAAAGCATATTTAATAAAACAACATTGGTTATTTTCATCTTTTCATCATTACTTTGGACTCCCTCACACCTCCCGCACGCACTTACATCGTTATTAAATTATTTCCAAGCAAATTATCATCTTATTCATAGTCTTTAGGTTCAGTCATTAAAATATAATTAAACTTAAATCTAGTTTAGTGATAGACGGTTATTTCTGCTCTGGCAACCCTGTCAACATTCAACCAAATTACAGTATTTTTGTAAATAAATCTTAAATTTCTTCCAGTCTTCTTCCACTCTCTCTTCTCCCAGGTCTCGAATTCTGCCGGTCATCTCAGCTAGTTGCATGTAGTCCATCAGCTGCATCTGCCATTCTTCCAGAGTGGGTAGATCTTGAGTTTTCCAATTCTTGGCGATCAGTATCCTTGCTGCCGTTGTTGCATACATAAAAAATGTTCTATCCTTCTTTAACACATTCTGGCCAACAATGCCCAAGAGAAAGGCCTCTGGTTTCTTCGTAAAGGTATACTTAAACACCTTTTTTAACTCGTTATATATCATTTCCCAGAAGGCCTTCACTCTAGGGCAAGTCCACCAGAGGTGAAAGAATGTTCCTTCATTTTCCTTACATTTCCAACATTTATTATCAGACGAATGGTATATCTTAGCCAATTTAACTGGGGTCATGTACCATCTATATATCATTTTCATTACATTTTCCTTCAGAGCATTACATGCAGTGAAGTTCAGCCCAGTGGTCCACAACCTTTCCCAATCTTCAAACATAATATTATGCCCAATGTCCTGTGCCCACTTTATCATTGCCGATTTAACCATTTCGTCTTGTGTGTTCCATTTCAGCAGCAAATTATACATTTTTGAAAGTACTTTAGTCTTAGGTTCTAACAGTTCTGTTTCCAACTTCGATTTCTCCACCTGGAATCCTAACTTTTTATCATTCTTAAATACTTCTTTAATCTGAGCGTAGTGTAACCAGTCTCGCACTTTATCTCTCATTTTCTCTAGACTCTGCAATTTCCAATTGTCTCCATCTCTTTCTAATATCTCCCAATACTTTGGCCAATTGGCCTCCATATTGGCTCTTTTTCGGGCCTTAGCCTCCAAGGGTGACAGCCACCTCGGCGTTTTATTCTCCAATAAGTCTTTGTATCTTATCCAGACATTAAATACTGCTTTCCTGACAATATGGTTCTTAAAGGCCTTATTAATCTTAACCTTATCATACCATAAATATGCATGCCATCCAAATGCATTGTTAAAACCTTCCAGATCCAGTACATCCGTGTCCTCCAGAAGTAGCCAGTCTTTTAGCCAGCAAAAAGCTGCGGCTTCATAGTACAACTTTAAGTCTGGCAGGGCAAAGCCCCCTCTTTCTTTCGCATCCGTTAATATCTTAAACTTAATTCTGGGCTTTTTGCCCTGCCAGACAAATTTAGAAATGTCTTTCTGCCACTTCCGGAAGCACTCCGTTTTGTCTACAATCTGCAATGTCTGAAACAAAAATAACATTTTATTCGAGGCTTCTTGCCCTGCCAAACAAATCTGGAAATATCTTTCTGCCACTTCTTGAAACAATCCATCTTATCCAAAATTTGCAATGTTTGAAACAAAAACAACATCCTTGGCAACACATTCATTTTTATCACAGCAATTCGGCCTAACAATGATAACTTCAAATTTGTCCATATTTCTAAGTCCTTTTTCACTTCAATCCAACATTTTTCATAATTATCCTTAAATAAATTCACATTTTTGGCAGTCATGTTAACCCCTAAATATTTCACTTTCTTAACCAATGTTAGTCCTGTCTCCTCCTGAAACTTCTCTCTCTCATTCACAGTTAAGTTTTTCTCTAAAACCTTAGTTTTCATCTTGTTCAACTTAAAACCTGCTACCTGTCCGAATTCTTGAATCAGTTCCAATACCCTTTTAGTACTAGATTCTGGCTCCTGTAAAGTCAATACTAAGTCATCAGCAAATGCTTTCAGTTTGTACTGTTTAGCTCCCACTTGTATACCTTTAACCTCTTGGTCCTTTCTAATCATATTTAACAAAACCTCGAGGACCGATATAAAAAGCAATGGAGAAATTGGGCAACCTTGTCGTGTCCCTTTCTCAATCTTAAACTCTTCTGTCACTACATTGTTCACAATTAATTTTGCCTTTTGTTCTGAATATATCGCACCTATACCATTTTCAAAACCTTGACCTACCCCCATCCCCTGTAGATTCTTCTTCATAAAACTCCAAGAAATGTTGTCAAAGGCTTTCTCTGCATCCACAAATATCAAGACTGCCTTAGTATTGATATTCACTTGTAGTTTTTCTAGAATATTAATTATATTCCTCATGTTGTCAGACAAATGTCTGCCCGGGAGAAAGCCCGCTTGGTCTTTATGAATTTCTTCTACTAACACCTTTTTTAATCTTTTAGCCAAAATATCTGCAAAAATTTTGTAATCCACATTAAGCAGCGATATGGGGCGGTAGTTCTTGAGCTGTGTCTTTTCAGTCTCTGTTTTCAGTATAAGTGTAATGTAAGCTTCCTTCCACGACTCTGGTGCCTTTCTCGCTTCCAATATTTCATTGCAGACTTCCTTCAATGGTTGTATTAACCATTCTTTCAAAGATCTGTAATATCTTGAAGTCAGACCATCTGGTCCTGGAGATTTACCTAATTGCATGTTCTGGATGGCCCCTTCCACCTCCAAGAACAGTTTCAGGTTAAGAACGGACCTCCGGAACGAATTAAGTACTTAACCTGAGGTACCACTGTATTTGGTTGCACTGGAGGTCTGGAAAATTTGGCCTGAGGTTGACTTCGAGGCTGTTGTAAGCAACTGCGTCTCTTAAATCTTCAGAAACTGTCAGCAAACATCTTCAAGGCCCCAGTGTAAATACCAGTATTCCCTTATGTACATAATGTCCCCCTTAATACACTAACAATCTTCGTTCATCCAGTCCAGTGTTGGTGTTCATCTCACTCTTAAGCTTACTATACTAGCTACTAGGTTGTTTTGAAAGCACTCCGAGTGAATTGGTGTTGGAGGAATATTAAGGAAGCCTAGATACTTAAACCTGTGTTTATACAAAGTGACACCTACACAAGCCAGCAGCCCTTAGTTCCTTGCTGATGGATGAGGCCTGCATGTCTTTCCTTCCATTTCTCAAAGAGTCCCAGGGCAACTCACAGCTAGACACTGGTGGTTTTTGGAGTGGGTGGGAGTGGAGCAGGCTCCCTATAGCTGCTCCTGGTAGTTAGTCCTAGATAGAACAGTAATCTGAGGCAGTGTGGAAAATTAAAATGTAGACTAGACCCAGCCAAGGCAGCTAGGTGTTCACGTTGGCCCCAAATTCTACAATAACTCTGCCTAGTTACAGAAGTCATATTCCCACTTAATGAACCATGCCTCAACTTTTGGAGAAATTTTATTTTGGCACTGAACTTCCGAAAGGCCAAAAGTATATTGTTATAGGATTGTGGTGGTTGAGGTAGCTTGATTGTCACTTTTGGAATACCCTCTCAGCCAGTAGTTTTATATCCGTAAAACTGGATTCTTTAGAAAGAGAGATTGCTGAACGGTGAGACCAGAATCTGTGGAGTTAATGGCTGCAAACCAAGTTTGTAGTATCTTTTTGCATGACTAAAAAATACAGTGGTACCTTGGGTTACAGACGCTTCGGGTTACAGACACTTCGGGTTACAGACTCTGCTAACCCAGAAATAGTACCTTGGGTTAAGAACTTTGCTTCAGGATGAGAACAGAAATTGCGTGGTGGCGGCACGGCGGCGGCGGGAGGCCCCATTAGCTAAAGTGGTTAAGAACAGTTTCAGGTTAAGAACGGACCTCCAGAACGAATTAAGTTCTTAACCCGAGGTACCACTGTATAGGTGATGGTTCCCACAGAAACTACTAATAGCAATACTTCCAGAAGGTGGGTTAAAAGGGTTAGAATCTTCCCTCCTCCTCTGGTTGAAAGGGATATCATTGGTGTGCAAAGGATAGCAATAGTCCTGGACCAGTCTTGTCTTCAGCTCTCTGTGCTGAATCCAAACCTATGGCATTGCGGGGCTAAAAATCTAACGGAGGAGCAAGTTTTGTTAATGTGTTAATGTTGTGAGCCCTTCCATCTTATGCTCAAACTGCCTATGTTTGTAAGTAAAACCATATTTCACAAAGACACTATCTCCAGTGATCTTCATTCCAAGAAAATGAGTTACCACCACAAAACCTCTTGCAGCTTGGAGATTGGAGTAACAATATTATTCACATGAATTATTATGTCATTCCATCTTTTTAAAGTTGCCACCTTTTCCCAGGCTTAGTTATTCCACCTTTAACAGCTTCATGTAATTTAAAAATTCAACTCTGCAGTTTTTCTGATCACTTTTCTTTTGTCAGGAACAGATGCTCCCGTTAGATTTGTGTTTTTTGTATGCCTATTAAACACACAGAGGCTTTTACAAAAAAAAGGGGGGCGAGAAGAGCTAACCTAAATCTTCATGTTATTTCTGATGAATATGGAATATAGAACCAAAATGTAGTTGGCTGTTACTTAAGCTTGGGTATGAGAACATGTCCTGTGCTATGAAAGTTTTAAAATGGGATAAAATTACCATATATTATAATATCAGTTTACTTATTTATTTCTCTGACATCTACTAGTGTTAAAATAACCATAAAATCAAGTTCTTGATTTTTATTTTCAGGATGAAATATTGAGCTTCAAAATCCATAAGAAGAAAAAGTTAACGGTAGGTGGCACTATAACATTCTAGATAAATTATATTTCAGTCACTGCAGTGTTATGGCTTTTAGGCTTCCTGTGTTTAGAAAACCTTTGTGTGTTTTGTGTTGTCTGCTGAGGAACTCTTTGCAACTATCACATAAACTCTGAAAATTGCAAAAGATTCTGGGGTGTGCGCTAGGGTGCCCACAACTCTCCTGGGGAGCTAGCTCTACCCATCTCACTCTTCCATTGTCTCCCGAGACAGACGGATGCCAACAGCAGACCATGGAAGGGTAGAGCAATAGTGGTGAGCAATTAAATGTGTGTACCATTAAATGTGTCTACCATACCTCTGATAGCCTTTGCCTAGGAAGAATATAATACTAATGACTTCCAGTAGATTTGTAATGAGAAATGAGTCTTAAGCACTAGGTGTCCGCTTCATATTTAAACCTATGCAGTGTTGCAATTTGCTAGTCTACAATTCCCATCACCCCTGATTGTTGGCCATGCCAGCTGGTCCTTTTTAACCCCTTGACAGGGTCCTAATTTTGCTCAGCTGTTTGTTGCAAACAAGCCAGCAACACTTTGGGAATAAGTTTGGTAGGGATGTCAGAAGCTGGTTTGGTTATACTGAGAGGAGTTTAGAAGTGGTACGATGGTAAAACCCCCACACAAAATGTCATCACCCTGAAGCGAGGAACTTATTGCAAATGTTTTATTGTGACATCCGATTAAATCTATTTGAATCTATTGTTTTCACACGATAGCTTTAACAGAAAATGATTTTGTACACAAGTGACCCTACACATTTAGAAATGTGATGCACCAACACAATATTCATATGTATATATTAATCCATGAGTGACACAACACAACAGGAATTGTCAGTTTTAATAGTGACCTGACAGTACAGGAACTAAAAAAGTTGCTCTAAAATATTGCACCTATGGCTTGGAGATGTTGAATTCTATGCTCATGTATCACAAAGAAATGCTTTTGCAAACAATGTCCAAGGGGATACCATTAATCAGAAGTCAGTGGGGCAGATCTGAATAAGGATCACATTTTGTTGGGCTTCTAGTCCTCCGGCGTTTGTACTGGGTTCTTAGTACACCAATACAGTTCGGTTGCTGAAAAACAGGTAAAAAGCAAAAGGGGGAAATGTATGTGTTCATTAGCAAAAGGGACTATGCTAAGCATCTGTTACTGGCCTATTTCTGGTGATGCAGTTAGGCTGCTTGCACACCAGGGGTTTAGTGGGTAGAGCAGTTGTTTTGCAGGTTCAATCCCCAACAGCCCCATCCTTTATATGCCCAGCTGAAGAGGGCATAGAGTCCTCTCCCCAAGACTGCTGATTCCTTATGTGTCTTGTGGTGCTGTTTTTGCTAAATGAGCAACAAAACTTAAGAGCGTGACCATAGGAAATAAAGGGAGTGATACATATGTGTGTGTGAACTTGACCCAAGAGTTTTGGGTTTGTTGTAATGCCTTACCTTTTCCCTTGACGCATAAGATCAAATGCTTCGTTGATTTTATCAAAAGGCAAAGTGTAAGATACAAGTGCATCCAGGCTGAATTTCCCTGCCATGTAATCCAACACCAGGTTTGGTACAGAATCCACACCCTTCCAGCCTGTGAGGGGGGAAACAAACAGATTCAAAACTGAATTCCTGATTTTTTTTATATGATATGTTTGCAAATATGCCAGCATGTTGACTGGGAGATATCGTACAACAAACTTGTTTTCCCCAAAGACCAGACTTATTGTGTAAGGAAAACTATAGGGAAATGCACAGAAAAGTGTGGGATCAAGCTTGCTCTGACACATTATCATCTAACCTCCCTGCAAACAAATCAGAATGAACGATTTTAAAAAAGCAAGTCATCATGAACTGCCCCCCAAACTGCATGGATGATCTGAATGCCTGAATGTTGTTGTGCCAGTTTTTCCTCCTGTTTCACCACCCACTTTCCCAGCTCCTGGGGCACACTGTGCATGGGCCCACACTCTAGAATGATGTCGAAACAGCTTTTCATTTATTTCTCAAAAGTGGAACAGGCTGTTCCATTTAACATCCACCAGATATTTGGATTCCAGAAATGGGAGGCAATTCAATAAAAACATTCCAGCTGTTATGTTTTTTGAGGTTGGCTCAGAAAGAAATATCATCCATATCCGGGAACATTTGAGCAATTGACAATAAATCACAATTATTTTGTACTAATTGCTTTGGCTGCCATAAAATCCGCAAAACAGTTGAATGAGTAGTAGGAATTACTGGGACTAAGGCATTTTCTAGTACGGTGGGACAGTAACTAAAATCTGTGTGGCCCCAATCCCCATTAGCTTTCTATTTAGTACATGTCTTGTTGCCTTTCTCTTTAGTGTCTCCTTTGGCTTAAGAAATCTCTAGTGCTCCAATGAGAGTTTATGTAATCTGAGATAATTCTTTTACTTTCAAAAGACCTTTAAAAGCCACTGAGAAAAAAGCTTGCACGCTCTAGAATGTGCCATCGATGTGCCACTCTTCTGACTTCATTCTCTTAAGTCAGGGGTCACCAACCTTTCTGGGCCAGTGGGAAGATTTGGGATCTTGTGAAAGTGACGTGGGCACCACTTACAAAATGCATGCTGTGGAATGTGGTGCATCACAACATGACTGCTGTGGGGGTGTGATGTAATGAATGCCACATCAAAAACTGCATTTGCTCACAGAGAGAAGCTGTTTGCACCTCTCCTCTGTTCAGAACAGATAGAAGGGCCTGTGTCCAGTTCTAGTATCCAAAGAAAAGTGGGCATGTTTAAGGGAACATGTTCAATATAGGAGAGGCTGAGCAGGCAAACAGGAACTGAAGAGAAAGAGCAAATAGTCTCAGGTATTGCAGGTTTTTTAGCAAACTTTTTGTGGGCATCGCAGGACGTGCTGGTGGGCACACTGACTCTCATAGAAACCAAGTTGCAACCTCTTCTTAAATCATGAATGGGGCGGCATGAGATGACCCAGTGCCAGAAACTGATCCTGACACGATCCATATGCGGACCAAAAGGGTTTCAGGCATCATGCTTGTCTGTAGTCCAGCACAAAAATGTAGAGAAATGTAATACAAATAATACAATGTAATATCACAGGGTGGCGAACCTGTGGCCTGCAGACTGGATCTGGCCTGCCAAACCAACTGCAGGTGCCTCACCAGTCCTTGTCAAAACCTGTATGTGCAGTCCAGCTCAGCGAAGGAGAAATCACCTTATCACAATACTGAGCTGAGCAAGCAGATGGGCTGGATTCAGGATTCAAAGCAGCAAGAGGGACAGAACACCTGTAAAATGTGTTTTACGACAAGCTACAAGAAAACAAGCTGTGTTCTGTCACCCCTGCTCTTGCAGATAATTAAAGCAGCGCTGCCCATCTTGATCATGGCAGTACTGAAAAGGAAAATAAAATAAATCAAATGTGCAAACCTAGAAATAACTATGCAAGTGTTATTTCAATCCTAGATACTACTACAATGCCATTTCTGGCATGCATATACCGTTAGGGAAAAACTAACCTCCAAAAAAGGTGGCGTTGATTTTCCGGCCCATTATCAGGTCCAGCGGAGAAACAACGAATCCTTCTTCACCCACAGCCACTCCGACGATTACACAGGTGCCCCAGCCAACAGTGGTACAGCAGAGAGCAGCTTTCTGGAAGGCAAAGGAAACTAACCACCCAGTCCTGCTTATAATTAGGAGCCACAAAGTCAACTCTGCCCATGAGTTCAAATGGAGTTACAACATTCCCAGTTGACTTTCACTGGCTTCTGCAACATTTAAAGAGGGGGCTTCCAGATGAGTGCTTAGCGTGGAATGGATGTTCCTTATGCATGCTAGTAATAAATATTAGCAGTGTGCACATGATGTTATCAGCATCAAAATAGTAGCCTATATTCACCCCTTCTTTTACTCTTGATTTACGCTTTCAGGAGGAAATACTAAAAATCTGTTGCCAAAATCCATTTGCAATATTTTGTTTGCAAATTAAGTCCCTGTCTGGGGAAGCACCCAGAGTTATATGCTGCAGTTGAATGACCATTTGGCACCAGTGCACTGACAGGTTTCCATTTGCAGAGGTCTCACCATCTCATTAAGGCAATAAAGTTTTGTCTCTGTGTTGTGTGCATTGCAGAAATATCTCCTGTCACCCACCAGGTATAAAAGCCCCCTCTCTCCAGTTTACATGACACTAAGCATAGCCTGCCCCCTAGCTACATTTTACATGGATGTCCTGAAGGCATTAGGCAGGTGGAAAGATGGCTCTTTCGAGTCCCAGTATAGTCCAGCTTTACCCACACCTGCTATTTCTGCTTGTTTCTGGACAGTTTACCCAAATCTATGTCCTTACTTACAGTACATTGGGATCTGCTTCCCCTCTCAATCCTGCTGCCTGAGGCAGTCACTTCACCTTGCCTCATTAGTGGGCCAGCCCTGACCTAGGCTTACTATATTCATATAGGAATATATATGAATATGCTTACAATGATCATATAGGAAGCAAAAACGCCCAAAAACCCAAAATTGCATCCCATAGTAAACAACATGTGACAAATGGGAGAGACAAACTGCTTCCTTTGTTGAACAGTTGAGTTTTCTATTGCACTGTAAACAAAAAGTGAGGTTCCCTAATGAGAACCTGCAAGTCGGACCTTGGTGTGATGTGGTGGTTGCATTAGTCTAGAACTCAGGAGACCTGATCAGCTTTAAAAGACAGACTTATGAGTTCTCATGAAAAAACTAAGCAAGGCCACATTCATTAGGGGTGGATTTTGAGAAAATCAGGGAATTCCCGGTGGAATTTCAGGAAAAGCTTAGATAAAATTGAACAGCTTTCTCATTACAGTTGTTGGATTTTGCTCATCCTTATTTAGAACATAATATTTTAGCTTTCCTGCTTTTATTACCAATCTTTACTGCATTGTAACTTTATTAAGTGAAGGCTAAAATACATACCATTACTTTTATGTTTCCGATGCACTCGATGGCAAAATCTACCCCTCCATCGGTCATTTCAGCTATAACCTCTTGAATGGGGTTCTTGAAATCCTCAGGACTGAGGCAGTCAGTGGCTCCCAGCTCTTTTGCCAGGGCAAATTTGCTTTTGTTAATGTCAATCCCAAAGATACGAGATGCTCCAGCTGCTTTGCAGCCCATGATAGCAGAAAGGCCGACCCCTCCCAAACCAAAGACAGCACAGGTAGATCCAGGCTCGACCTAGAATAACATGAGAGAAATTCACAGGGAACTATTTTTAATATCTGGATTTTCTTTTTTAACAAAGAACCTCTTATCTATTTGGCTGAAACAAAAGTAAACCACAGGGTGGGTGGAATTTCCTCTTCTACACAACTATTAAGGGAGAGAGCCGTGCCCCCTTGTGCATCCCCCATGCAAAAATAAACAAAATCCACCCCTATACAAAGCTAAATGTAGAGAGGAAATAATTTTCTACTCTGGTCTTCTTGACATGATAGTTCCCTCACCCTGCGATATTCAGTTAGCTGTGCCTCTGCTTGCAGTCTGAAGTAAAACTGTTGACACAGCTGTACCACTGCAGAGAGAATTAGGCCCAACTTAATGTAGGATAACCAGCCTCATATAACCAATATGCTTAAGTCTAATAAATGCATGAAGAGGTTAATACCATAGAGTAAGCTGTCCAGCCTGCTTAAGCTATGTCGCTTCCTTTTACCTTGGGAAGAAATAAACAAGCTTTTGTCTCTCTTCCCCCAGCCTACTTGAGAATTCAGTATGTGAGGAGGGCTGAGTTGGTTGCTCCAGCTCAGCTGCATGGCTTTCATAAGCCTCTCATGTGTTCCTGTACCAATAGTTTAGGAACTTTCACGACTTTGTAACTAAGCTACGTTTTACTGCCTTTGCAACTTTTCTGATTGATGTATGGAAGAGCACATGAATCTGACCTTTAGAGAGTTTATAAGTAAACATTTTTTTTACTTACCAAATGCATGGTCTTTCCCTAAGCTGGGGAAAGTGGAGCACTTTGGAAGGAACTTTTAAATGGGACAGTTTTGGAATTCACTTGGAAGGGTGTATCTTACAGCCTATATTTCCATGCTTTACTTTGCTGCATATTTGGTGATTTTAAATATCTACTGGGGTTCTCTCACCAAAGAGTACTTGCCCCAAACTTGGATCTTGGCTTTCAGGAAATTCTTCTCTTTTTTGAATCAGCACTTAAAACTAGTAGTCTGAGCACGTCTTGCTTAGCAAGGGGTTGAAGTAAAAGGCTTTTGGGATCTTGCCAAGTGCTTATTTTTGTAAAGATTCTAGTTGGTCTTGACATGGCAAAAACGTTGATGCCTCCCCTCCCCCTGTTAATTATTTTTTTTAAAGTAAGACTTGAGCCATCATGAACTCACCTTGGCAGTATTAATAGCAGCTCCATAACCCGTGGAAAAGCCACACCCAGTCAAACAGACTTTATCTAGAGGAGCAGCAGGATCAATTTTGGCAAGAGAGCTTTCTACCACAACTGTGTATTCGGAGAAGGTACTGGTTCCCATGAAATGGTAAATCTGCTTTCCTTTGCACATGAACCTGCTTGTGCCATCAAGCATCAGGTCTTGGTCAGAAATTGGTGTCTTTGCTTTGCTGCAGAAGAAAAAAAACAAAAGTGAAATATGGGCACCCAGGATTTTTCTTGGGGGGCAGCCCAGGCCTTTTGTTGGTGGGGGCAGGTCTTATGTTGGGGGAGGGTAGAATCTCAGTTACCTATGTATTTTCACTTTTATTGATTGGGGGGCAGCTCCCCTCCATGATCCCCCCTGGCTATGCCCATGTTAAGACCCAAATTTGCTTATTTAACTTCTAAGTATAAATACTGTATGCATACAATTTCTACACACATACCTCAATCCTCCATCTAGATAAGCAGCAAGCATGCTCAGAGTTCAAGGATACATTCCAGGCAGGCAAAAAAATGCTTGAGAAGGAGGTGAAACAGAACCAGTAGCAGGCATGACTGGGGAGAGTGTGTAGGTTGGGGAGAGTCCCAAGGAAGAGTTGGAGAGGTTTGGATGTATCTACACAGATGTGTAGATTTAAACAAAAAGTGAGTCCCCCGAAACAATATATACACAAGTGGGGTGGTAGATAGGGCAGAGATGCTGTGTTAGCTTCCTGGCAGTTGGGTTACTCTTCCTCACCATGAAGGAAGCGGTAGGGAGGTTGTCACAGTGTAAATACATTGGAAGGCACACTGTATTGGCTCTGGTGCATTTGCACTGTGCTCAGCTCTCTATTGCCTCACTTGCTTTCATTTCCCCTCCTGGTAAGGAACAGGTTTTGGTAATATTTCTACTGATGGCTTTGCAGCTCACTTGCTAGGTAACCTAGCCTAGGTTACTTCCATATACTGCTTGCCTGGCTTATTAAGTTGTCCTCAGCAGGCTCCAGTGCGTACATGTGGGCAAACAATGTGACAGCTGCAGTAACTGGTGCCTCAAATAAATTTACTTGAAATGTGTACCTGATCCGTTCACAGAGGTTAGTTTTGGGACTCAAGCAGAACTTGCACTGTCCACACTGAGGAAGATACAGTGGGATAACTTTGTCACCTAAACAAAACAACAAGAACGCATCCAGTATTACATTTATTTCTGCTATGAACTTCAGTACAAGGCAAGCCTTGGGCTCATGAACTCTCCCGTCTCTTCTAGCCTGATCACAAAGCCATGTTCAGATGCTTTTGCTTCCATTCTTGATTAACTGCAGCTTGTCATGTTGTCTACAGTTGAACAATCTGTGGTGGATCTGATGGTTTGAAACGGTCTAGCTGTGGGTCATGAACCTGTCTTGCTTCAAACAAACCATAGTTAAGATTAACCACAGCTTAAGGTTCAAGTGCAATGTTAAACGTAGTAATTCAAAACAGAAGTGAACATACCAACACAAAGGGAAGCATGCTGTTTAGGAGTTTAAATTGACAATGGGGAATATTTCCCAGCCTAAGGCCTGTGTTCTTTCACGGAGAAGCTCCCAAGGGCCACATGTCAATGTGGGTAGAGCAATAGATACGATTCTTACTATATGACAGTATAATAGGCTACATTTGAGCCATGCAAAATCCAGAAAAATCCTACATTCACACCTTCCAAAAATGTTCAGCTGAAAATTGGGGTGCGTGTCTTTTGGTGCTGCACTGCTCCGCAAGTCAGCTGGCTGCCTCCCCTGCCATAGCCCCTACCTGCCAGCTTCTTGTATGGGCTAGCCCCAGTCAGCAATCTCACTGCCCTGTTGGGGGCCAGCTGAAGTTTTGAGATTGTTTTCAAAGGCGAGTTCATGCATGACAACAGGGGTGCCAACTTGAATAAAATATTGGGGGGGGAGGTACGCCCCACCCCACATAATCAATGACATGACGCAGTGCACGCACACAATTTGAATGGTAATGCACATCAACTTTGGAGGGCCCCCGGCCACCTCAAATATTTTATTGGGGGAGGGGAAGCCCCCTCAGCCCCTAGGAGTTGGGCTCCTATGCCTGACAATAAAAACACTCCTTTTTTGAATAGCCGTTTAAAGCGATTAAGGACCTTCACATGCAGTATATAGTTGTAATCCTTACAAAAATTCTGTAAAATGCAGGCAATCCTGTAAGGTACTTCCTATTGCAGTTGCACTCAGACTGAGAGAGGGTGACATGCCAGAGGCCATCCAGTGAGGTTTTGGAAGATGCAACATCTGAACCAGGAACTTCCTTTAGCCTACTACAGTTTTAAACTGTTTAATTTTTTTTATTTAATTGTTGTAACTCACCCTGGGACCTTAGAGTGAAGGGCAGGTATTGATTATTTAAAATAATAAATAATAATAATAATACCACCACCTTTCAGGCAGTTGAGCATCTTAAAAAGAGAAATGGGCCAATGGCACTGAGGGCAATTTATAATGTATCAGTACCTGGTTTAAATCTAGTCACTCCTGGACCAATGCTCTCTACGATTCCAGCTCCCTCGTGGCCTAGTATGACAGGGAAAAGGCCCTCTTTAAAACTTGGACTCGTGGCATGATCATCTGTGCGGCACACCCCGGTAGCAATAATCTGAAAGAAAGACGTAAAACACAAGTTGATAACCTAACTAGATGGTGGTGGTGGTGGTGGTGATGATGATGATGATGCAGATTCACACTCATTCTCCTTCATAGACTTCCATATTCACTACTGTCTTTTCCCATATTCATCCTCCAATATGCATCCTCCAGGAACTTTAGGGAGGGTGGGGGTAGCCAGTGTGAGTGTATCGGGGAGAGACCTTTCCAAAATGGCCTCCATGTTGTTGTTTGCTGTAAGTTACAGTTGACATTATTTCAAAGCTATGCTTATAATGTAAGCTGTGGGGTATAATAGAGATGTTTCTCAGATCTTTGGATGCTCACCTTAACTCGTATTTCATGCTCTTTTGGAGGGGAAACTTCAACTTCCTCAAGGGAAAAGGGTTTCCCTGCTTCCCATACAATGGCAGCCTTGCATTTAATAACCTGGAAAAGAACCCATTGAACTGAAATGTAAGGTTGGTATTAATGACCCCTGAACACCCCCGCTCCCACGGCCCTGTTATTTTATAGCTCTAAGATCAGATTCTGCATAAAAAGAGACTTTGCCTAGCAGTTTACCTCTGGCTAGGCGAATGGGCTTTTGCACAACTAAAAAGATGGCCATAGAAGCTAGTAGTTGGAGATCCTTGTGGAAAGTGGCATGTCTTTCTTCAACCCCATCTCCCCTGGCTGGAGGTGATGCCATCAAGTGGTGTGTGTAAAAGTAAGAGAACGTATGTTTTGGCAGTAACAGAACCAGGTCACTCTGAAAGAGACAGAGGTCTGACTCATTCTTTGTGAAAACCTGGTGCCTACAGCACCGGGAGTTCCTTTAGAACGTTAATGGGGGAACAGGACCAGTTGCAATGTGAATGCTGTGAACATTTCATCTTAGCCTGTAAATAAAGCCTGTTGCAGAAGTGCCATCGGTCTCTGGCTACCTCATTAAAAGGAAACCAACTCCAGGGGTTGTTTTTTTTAATCTATATCTAATCTATATCTATATATCTATTCTGATTATTAAGCAGGTTGTAAATAAAATAAAGAAAAACAGATCCCCTAAAATGTAGCTTTATGGCTAAGCAACTGAATGGTTTTCACTGCAAGATACTCTGAGGGCCAGTCTTGACATGTGCTTAAATATGTAGCAGACGCCTCCCCACCATCACCACAGTGGTATCAACTGGAGACTTTTTTTCCGTAGGTTCCTAGTCATTGGAGAGGAGTCCAATCTCCATTCCATTCAAGGCAAGGGAGAAAAGAGATAAGCTTCTCCTTCCCATGTGTTGCCTTCACCGTAGGAATCAAGCTCTCTCGTCCCTGTAATTACCGTAGCTATGGAAAAACAAGATATGTAGCTGCCTGCTAGGTATGCCTAGGTTGGCCTTCAGTCTCATTTGAGGGAGAAACTATCGTACATTTTTGAAAATTAGCCATGTGAAATGTCTTACATGTGTCAAGACTTCAGAAGAACGTGCTGGGGGCAAATCCAGTCCAAATCTAGTTTTTAGCACTTGCCAAAATTATGTTGGCTGACTCCAATTCCCATTGTTATGTTGGACACATCCCATGAACCAGCTGGACGTGGATTGATTTCTACTGTGTGTGAATTGCCAAGGCCATATCAATCCACTCTTAGCTGTATTACAAAATACACAGCAATCAGATGATATCCAGATGTGAACAGGGTAGCTGCCTACATATTACTATTATTTGATTTGATTTATAACATGCACTTCCTCCAAAATGAGGAAAAGGAAATTTCACCCAGAAAGCATAAGTGCATCACCCAAAAAGAGGACACCAATTTGCATTTGCTGATTTATATGGATGCATGCTAATTTAGAAATAGTTACTATGCTATAAAGAGAAATATATTTCATCATAGCAGGTCAGGTGCTGCTAAGTGTTGATGGGCAAGTTCAAGACTCCAGTTCTGCCTCCTTAGGGTTCTTTATCTTTAAACTAGGTTTGGATTGATCAGCTCTTTGAACAGAGGACTCCTTCAAAGAGAGCCTGACATCTAACAACCCTTCTGACACAGGACTGTTCTCTGTAAAAATAACATTTAAACACTCTGTCTGTCTGTCTCTGTCTCTCACTCTGTCTCTGTCTCATTGTTCTGCATGTCTGTGGAAAATACTAGCCTTGAAAGCATCTCTGAGCTGGCACTTCTCTTTATTAAGGACACTCATGGGAGGTCAAGCCAGCAATGGTTGCTATCCAAAAATCATCAAGGGGTGTTCACGACCAAATTTTAAATTTGGAAGTGAAGAGACAGATACTGCAATCTGTATCTGATCTATGTATGTGTCCTAAGTCATAAGAAATGGTAACTGGGCTGGAGCATCTTCTCAATGGAAATAAACCTTAAGAGGGTTTTTTTTAAAAAAAAACAACAACCATAAGAATGTGGAGCTTTCTGTTTGGAAGGGGGAGGATGAGAAGTATGGGGGGGCAGTATAATGCTTTATGTGTTGTCTTTGGCCATCCCTTAAAGTACTACCCAGATATCAGTCTCCTTTCCCTTCTCTTCCCTCTGCCTACAAGCAGCTCTGCTGCAGGCCTGTGTTAAGAATCCCACCAGTAAGCTGCAGATAACCCTTTTAATAAACCAGATTACTAACTAATGCACAGGGCTTGAATTCAGTAATCAAGATTGACCAGATCTACAGCTTATAAAAGTAGAGCCCTCTAAAGCAGAGCACATCTCCTCTGACTGCATCACTGGGATGAATGACTAATGAGAGCAAATCAGGGTGAATGTGGGAGAAATGCACATTGCCATCAATGGTGGACCTTGGGGTCTCAAATTTCAGTAGCTCCCTGTGTGACACCAAAAATTGGCAACCCACTCCTCTCACACTCTATTATAAATAATAGTTGCGGTGTCCCCTGAGGCACTCCTGAGGCTTCATGCCCAGTTACAACCAAGCCAGTTGTGCTCCCCTAAATCCGCCTCTGTTGCCGTATAATTTCCATGCAAACAAACTGGAATGAATGCATAATAAAGACTGGCTTTAATCTAACATTTGCAGAAGCTTTGTGCAAGCAAATCACAGGGAATTCTCAATAAACAAGTTATCTGGAGGGTCCCATAACCACCCTGTCCAGCACTAAAGGGAGAAGTGCATTAAACAGCATGGCTGCCAGTGCGCACCCCAGTTTCTTACTTTGCCAGCAGTGCTCATACTTCGTTCCTGGGGAGATCAAGACGAATTCAGCTGGGATCCCTTGGGGTCAGTGGCTCTGTGAAGGAAGCAGCTTGTAGAATCTGTGTCTTTGGAGGGAAGATGTGGCCTAAATATCAGCTGGAATTCCTCTTCTGCCACTCTCTCACTTTACCCTTGCCACCTGCTCCCTCTTCCCTCCTACCAGTGGAGGTGTTCTTGTTTTTAAGCCCTCTGTCCTTAACCCGTTTCCGCAATTATGACTTTATATTTTATTTGTATCTATGCAGCCAACATCCTTTTCCCCTTATACCTAGACTTTCAGCACATGCAAACATATAATGTTCAGTAGCGTGTCAGTGCAAAGAACTCTAGTGACAGGAAAGGCTTTAGCAAAATTAATGGTGACGATACCAGCTCTTTACTCTGGAAATGAGAGTGGGGCGTGGGGGAACTGTGCTGAAAATAAAGTTGCTGTAATATGAACCTCACCACTACCCTTGGCTTATACAGTGGTACCTCTTATTTGGACTTCCATCAGCACCTCTGATAATCCTCCGTCTTAATCACTTCTTATGCCTTTCTTAACTTAATATTGCCATTAAATCTTTTAACATTTCATCTCTCTTTTTCCATTTTTACAATATTTCTAATATTACTCCCCACAGAACTTCTTGCAAATGGAGGTCCGTTCTTAACCTGAAAATGTTCTTAAGTAGAGGCGTGTTTTCGCTAATGGGGGTCTCTTGCTGCTGCCGCGCCGCCGTAACACGATTTCCGTTCTCATCCTGGCGCAACGTTTTCAACTCGAGGTAAGTCTTCCAGGTTAGCGGAGTTTGTAACCTGAAGTGTTTGTAACTCGAGGTACCACTGTAATTGTAATGCACTCAGAACTACTTACAGGAATAGCAAGTCTATTTGAGACTGACTTGGAGAACATACTCAACAGTTAGATCAGCTGATCATCACTGATTTTGCCTTTTAAAATTAAGTTTCTTGCTTACTCAAAGCAATGTTAAGCACATCAGTATTAAGAAAGAAGCAACCTATATCTGAATTTTAACCAGAAAAAGTAAAACAAATTGTTCTTTAAAAACCCTCTTACACATCTGTTTTGATTGAATAGTTTTTCTGCTTCCAAAATAGCAACCAAGAAAGAGCGATCGCAATAAATTCTTGACTCCAAAGTTTGCAAGGGGTAGAAGGACATGATTAATTGGCCCCATGGAGTTCATTTTAAGCCAGATGGTTTTTGTCTACAATTTGATGCATGCTTACATGGGAGTAAGTCCCACTGACCTCATTCATAATATCATAGGATTGTGCTGTTACTTAGGTAACCAAGTGCATATCTGAAAACAGGGATGGGGAACTTGTGGAGCTCCAGATGTTGAAATATAGCTCCCACCATTCCTTACCACTTGCCACGCATGAGGTCTGGAAGGCTGAGTTTGCCTATGCCTGCTTTAGAGCTTCTGAATAACTTAGGAGGATCATAGGACCATAGACACAGACCGTCCTGAGTCTTCCAGGTGTAGGGCGGTATATAAATTCAATAAATAATAATAATAATACTTTTTTCTTTAAAAAAAAATGTACAGTGGTACTTCGGGTTACATACGCTTCAGGTTACATACGCTTCACGTTACAGACTCCGCTAACCCAGAAATAGTACCTCAGGTTAAGAACTTTGCTTCAGGATGAGAACAGAAATTGTGCTCCGGCGGTGCAGCGGCAGTGGGAGGCACCATCAGCTAAAGTGGTGCTTCAGGTTAAGAACAGTTTCAGGTTAAGTACGGACCTCTGGAACGAATTAAGTACTTAACTCAAGGTACCACTGTATAGGGATACTCTCATTTTGACTCAAGAAAATCACCATTTTATAGCTGAAATCAGGGAAAATGAAGAAATGGACAAAAGTACAAAGATTCAGAAAATGTTTAGGGGTATGCGTACCCCCTGCGTACCCCCAGAAAAAAGGACTAATAATAACCATCAACTGCTCTGGAAAAAAGGAGTGGAAGCACAGAATGAAAGCATTTGCATGGATGAAAAAGCATGTGGGTTGTAGAAGGATGTGAGTGATTAAACTTTCTTTTCCTTGTTGCCACAGCCACTTTGCACATCAATGGGAAACATGGGCCAGGCAATATTGTGGGGTTTTTTTCTTGCAAGAAGACAGTGGCCAAAATCTCAGTTCCAACACTATGGTATTTGCAAATATGTCCCCAAGCAAAATGGAAAGATAGTTTCCTTACCTGGGCCTGCCCTTCTGGAAGTGTCCTGTCACATGCATATATAAGCACAAATAATATTGCAACACTGGGATTAAGCACTAGGACAAAAATATTAATATTCTGCTTCAATAAATATTTGTTGCAAAGGCTGGCTTATCACTGGTCAACATGGTTTTGAATGAGCCACCTGCTTGAATGTTTATTTTCCTACATTTTACTTTCTGGCAGGATTCCTCAGAATTTATATGATAATACGTATTGATTTAAATAGAAATATTTTGCAAACTAAAGCTTCTAGTTCGTGCCTGTTGTTGGAGAAGGCCTCTAGCAGATCTGAAAATGTGATTAATTTCTTAGGAATTTTCGTTTACGACTAAAGAATCACATACATTGTCACTTTGGCTGAGATTAAGTGCAATGTAGCATCTTGTCGGGGTAATCAGACATCAATTTAATATTTTTATGTCGCCGTTCATAAGTCCTTTGCTTTACCACTAATTCATTTCCTTTAGCATCTAACTAATAATAATAATAATAATAACAATAATAATAATAATACTTTTTTATTTATACCCTGCCCTTCCTGGTTTAAAAACCGGGCTCAGGGCAGCTAACAGCAAATATATAAAACATTGATTAAAATGCGACTTAAAGCACTGAAGCACATTCTTTTTGTTCTGTGCTGTGTACTATCTCTGATAAGCCTCTCATTGCCCACCTTATCTGTTTCAACTAACATTGATTTTCATGTTGCTTTATATTATGTTATGTTCCATTTATGACCTTGGGATCAAAGTAATTATGTGGGATATGTTTATGGGCTTGAATTGGTTTCCATAGTATGTTCCTCACTGAACACGACCTTTTTATCTGTCTTGCTCATGCCTTGCGTGAGATATCCCTGTAGCCATTGTGGGAAGCAGGAACATTATCGCAAAGGTTACAAAACAAACTCAGTTTTATCTTTAGGTGCCATCACAATTCATTTAGCTTTTAGTTTTGTAAAAGGAGGCCAGCATTGCACAATGGTTTATGTTTCCGTGCTATTGTATTGATTCTAGAGTTTCTTCTCTAATCTGTAGCGACCAAACATTTCATGGCAAAGAGGTATCTGCAGCCCGGCAACATTTTAACTTGTTTCAGCAGACCCAGATGACAGCTGGGAAAACAAGACTTTTGGCGTTTATTGTCTGTTATAAAGCAAAAAATGGCTTGTTGATGATTTCCCTCAGGAATTCCCCCCCCCATTTATGACAGCTTTATATACAAGTTTATGACCACTTTGAGGAGAGACATATTCACACTAAATGTGTGTGGCAAATGAACGGAATTATTTGCAAAAAGTGACAGGGTTCTTGTTGCTACTATGTTGTATGCTATTTGTTGTCCTGATCACTGCCTGACATCCATTTCACCACCAGGATTCGTGCTCTTCCTAGTTCAGAATAAAGGCAATGAAGGAAATCAGGAGAAAAGTATTTGCACTTCCTTTGCAGTCATACCAACTGCTTTGACCACTAGTACTGTTTCCTGCTCCTCACTTCTTCAAGCGGTGAGAAATCTCAGGGATAATACCGCAATAAAAGAGGGGGCCTGCCCCCACCAAAGTTGGTGAGCATTTCCATTCAAATAGTATGTGTGCGCCATGTCATGGGCTTACCTCCCACCCCCAATATTTTATTCAAGTTGGTACCCCTAGCTTGAGGAATGGATAAATCTGCCAATTTTGGTTTCCTTCAATTTCTCATGTCTCATAGAATCATAGAGTTGGAATAGACCACAAGGGCCATCGAGTCCAACCCCCTGCCAAGCAGGAAACACCATCAGAGCACTCCTGACATATGGTTGTCAAGCCTCTGCTTAAAGACCTTCAAAGAAGGAGACTCCACCACACTCCTTGGCAGCAAATTCCACTGTCGAACAGCTCTTACTGTCAGGAGGTTCTTCCTAATGTTTAGGTGGAATCTTCTTTCTTGTAGTTTGGATCCATTGCTCCGTGTCCGCTTCTCTGGAGCAGCAGAAAACAACCTTTCTCCCTCCTCTATATGACATCCTTTTATATATTTGAACATGGCTATCATATCACCCCTTAACCTCCTCTTCTCCAGGCTAAACATGCCCAGCTCCCTTAGCCGTTCCTCATAAGGCATCGTTTCCAGGCCTTTGACCATTTTGGTTGCCCTCCTCTGGACACGTTCCAGTTTGTCAGTGTCCTTCTTGAACTGTGGTGCCCAGAACTGGACACAGTACTCCAGGTGAGGTCTGACCAGAGCAGAATACAGTGGCACTATTACTTCCCTTGATCTAGATGCTATACTCCTATTGATGAGGCCCAGAATTGCATTGGCTTTTTTAGCTGCCGCATCACACTGTTGGCTCATGTCAAGTTTGTGGTCAACCAAGACTCCTAGATCCTTTTCACATGTACTGCTCTCAAGCCAGGTGTCCCCCATCTTGTATTTGTGCCTCCAGTTTCAGATTTTTGCTAAATTTCCACGTTCTGCATTTTAAAAAAGTCCTCAAGAAAGTCCGTCAGTATTTTAGTGTACATTTCTTGAAATATAAACATTTTTGCAAGCTACTGCCCCTAATCCCATGCATTTTTGCATTTTGTTTATGTAAATATGTGTGTTTCATTCGTACTCTCCCTAAAGCAGGTATAGGCCACCTTCGGCCCTCCAGATGTTTTGGACTACAATTCCCATCATCCCTGACCACTGGTCCTGTTAGCTAGGGATCATGGGAGTTGTAGGCCAAAACATCTGGAGGGCCAAAGGTTGCCTGTGCCTGCCCTAAAGCAATGCAATTTTGTATGTTGTTTTCGCCAATGTAATCACTTTTATGCATACGTTCCCCTTTTATGCGTAATTCAACCTTTGTGAACAGAAAACCCCAGTTTCAGTCTCTGGTATCTCAAGGCAGGGCCAGGAGAGAACCATGCCCGTAATCCTGTAGAGCCGCTGCCAAGCAGTGTAAATGATACTGAGCAAGGTGAACCTATGCTTTCACTCTCTAAGGCAGCTTCCTATGTTCCTAT